ATTAGTTTGATATATTTTATTTCACACCACTTCATATCTAACCTTTTGTCATTTCTCATCAGTCTGATGATGAATCATCATTATCCAACAATGGCAATCCTAGGTTCGTGGTTCTTCCTTCTATGAAATTTCATTAATACTCCCTCCGTCTTTAAATATTCTTCTGTCTTCCCATTTCCCAACGTCCTAAAATAATGATCCTACCTTTTCTGTTTACATTTCCATCTTTTTTCCTCTTCTCAAATTACTTTTTTGACCACCTTAAAACTTGGATTAGTCAAGGAGAGAATTTTTCAAAGGCGGAGGGTGTATTACCTTAGCAACTTTTCTGTGTTTATTGGTTTATAATTTATTTTTTTCAAATAGGATTAAGCCGAGACCATCATGTTTCGCAGAATTCTACTCAATCTTTATTGGCCGCAAAAAAATGGGGTCAACATTGAAAATTTTTGGCTCTGTTGAGTTCTCTTTTGGTAATAATACTCAGTACCTGTTCAAGAGGACAGGTAATGATGGTGTGGACATAGAAGATTCACAGGAAGTGTTACCATTGAGAGATGTGCCTATGAGGGTTGATGAATATAACAGGCCTGAATTGAAGGTCGATCTAAAAGATGTTGGTGGGAAATTTCAGACTAGAGGTTTTGCTAGCCGTGACCTTAAATTGGACAAACAAATATGTTCCGTTTTTCCAGGAGAAGAGGGGTTTTGTGCATTGCATTACTCCATTTTCTCACGTGCTTTCCAAGCAAAGATCAAGATCTTTGTCAAGAATAAAAGTGATGATTTCGGGCCTGACATAGTCTATGGAAGTGCAATTGCGTATTATAGCAACGTTGATTACCCAACCGAGTTCGAGAAAAATTATTTTCGGAGCGTGCTTTTCAAAAGGACTGAGAAGGATTCAGTACGATTAAAGGATAATGGGAGAGTACCACTTTCTCGATGTGTAGTTGCGGTGCCAATGGATTTGTCCCTCATTGTTGAAGTAAATTTTTGTGGCTCACATTATCATCTCTCGTGCACCGAAGCGTTCAAGGTTGGAATTAGCTCCTTTCAAACAACGAAAAATGATCATATACTTGACATCAAGTTGACTTGGAGTGATGGTAAGTAATTGTACTTTTTTGTTATACCTTGCTTTTGAGATCCGATTATTTCAGTTTTTGGTTTATAAGAATATGTACCAAAGCTAAGCAGTGTGCCTGTTCTCTCAAGTGCTACAGTTCCACATTCGATTATTTAATGGCAAAACACTTTTTTTTTATTCTCCTTTGTGAATCATTTTTTTTTTACACAAATCATACTGCCCCATAAATTTCCATATGGTGTAAAACAAATGGTATGCAACATTTAGCTAAAGTGGTATGGCAGGAATCTTATTTATGATAACTTTTAGAAGTAGGCTCAGTTTGTGATGTGTCAAACATGAAAACCAAGTTAGCAAAGTTTTTAATCTATTTGTAGCATTTAATGATGGTTATGACCAATAATATATATGAATATCTTGAAAGTTGCTGTACAATGTAGTTTGATGTTGAAGGGTAACTAGGGGAACTTTCATGTAAAAGTGTTTCTGAAATGGTATATTTAAAGCTGTTTATGTTTGGGTCCATACTGAAAAAACCTATCGAATTGGACCGATAGGTCCAAACCAAACCCGGACTGGATAGATTTCAGGTTGGTTTTTGGACAAGTGTATTTCAAACTTTGGGTTTTTGTCCAGTCCGGTCCAAACCCGAATGCCAATAGGTCTAGACCGAAACATTAATATTTCGCCACACCTCTTAATCACAGTACACCCTTATTCTCGACAGCCCCCCTATTTCTAGTCAGTCATAATCAGATTCACACCCAAATCCCTAATCAAATATCTTCATCATCTTCCCATCACCCTAAATCAGACATGCAGCGTCTCCCGATTTCATCCGTGGTGTTAGTGGTGCAACGATGCCGGCTAGCAGTCTTTTACTTCAATTTTTATGGTTAGAAATCAATACACTGAAATTGATAGCTCCTGGCAATTTTAAATTTTAATTTTTCAAATTATGTTCCTTAGTGTTCTATACATTGTGGATTGCAAATTTGCAACTATTCAGTTGACTTCTTCTTGCTCTTGGGCATTTTTTGTTTTATAATGAACTATTTTTTTTAACAATTACGTAGTATATTTTACTGTATAATTTACAAAATTTGTGCTGCTCTTTGGCTACTTTGTTGCCAGTTTTTTTGACTTTGCATTTCAATTCTGTCTTCTGGGTTGTAATCGGTTCGGTCCAAGTAATTTAGGCCCGGATCTGTCTTAAACCGATAGATAATAGGTCCGTCTTCGGTCCTCTTCTATTGACGACAAAGCAATAACATTAATCTTGGAAAAATGGAAAATAGAGTCTCGATTCATTACACAATGTATTGGGTTTCCTGTTGATGATTTTGTCATTAATTTGTTAATTGTTGATGCAGGATTTCATGATGGGGGGAATGATTCAGACGAAGACAAGGTTGTTCATTGTTTAATTGTAATAAATTTGTTGTAAAAAAAGTCCTACATGTGTTTATACATAAAATTATAACACTGTTCACTGAAGAAAAATGATGCTATTAATAAAAACTAGTTGAAAATGTACGCGAATACTCCCATGTTTGGACCATCTTACAAACTTTTTCTTCCAGAATAACTACTACACAAGGATACTCCCAAGAGATAACCGATGCTACAAAAAAGCTTCAAAGATAGCAAAGTTCATCCCTTCATTATATGCCTATGCCAATTTGGCTCTTTTGTTTATGCCACCTCACTGATTTGGCGTCAGCTTCCTTTAATCATACATGTGAGCTTATGAGTGTAATTGTAAGACGCTCCAAATTGCGGAGCATTCATTTGTATCATTTCTTTTTCCCTCTTTGATTTAGATCTTTGATTTAGGAATTAATTGAAAATGGGAGATTCACAATGGACATCCAAAAAGAGAAGCATAGATAATTCACGTCCTAGTGTAAAAAATGCTGACGAATTAGCCAAACCAGTATCAGTATGGACATAATAGATGATAAACTACCATTGTTTTAGGAGCATTTTCTGACACAAATCATCTCTTTGGAGTATTATTGTTCAATATTTGTTTTTGGAGTATTTTTGTTAGAAGGTTCAAACTTTGGAGTATTTTTGTACATTTTTCCAAAATTCAACAACTTATATTTACAAATGTTACACCTTTCTGTACCCAGATGTTCTCTTTCTCAATTGGTCCATTTGGTCAGCTCTCTTGGTCTGTCTATATTTTGATGACACAGCGATACTAAGAATCTAGGAAAAATGGAAGATAACGAATCATGATTCAATGCACGATGTATTGGCTTTGATATTGATGATTTTGTTATTTTTGTTGATGCCTTGCAGGATGGGTGGAGTGAATCAGACAAAGACAAGGTAGAAAAAATTGGGGCAATGGCTTGTAGGGCTGTTACTGCACCTGCGAGGATCTCCTCTTGTTGCTAATCTTATATGTTTGCCTTTTGAAGTGTCAAGGGAAAACAACCTGATCAGCTCAATGAGGGGAGTGATTTTGACGATGACAAGGTAAATGAAGCTGTCGGGTCTCTTGTTCTGACTATATTTTGACTAAGAAGCAAATCTTCATAGAGACAGCAATGACAATAATCTTGGAAAAAATGCAAGCTATAGAATCCCAATTTTGAAGATATGGCCTTAGATACGTGTTTGGAGAACTATGATTGGAGTAGTTGGGTAGGCCCTTTGTGCTAATGGAAGTTTTTTTTGTACTTTTTGTTCTGTGCTTTGTATGCTTGCTTTTATGCATAGTTGTTAATGGTGGACTCGTGAGGGGTGGGCGAGATGATCTTTTTTATGGCAAGAGGCGTGGCGAGGGGCGGGCGGTCAAATGGTGAACACACACACACATATGTGTTGTGTGTGTGCGTGTGTGTGTGTCGGACCACGCCACATGCCACAGTGCCTTTAGAGTAGGGGCAACTTCTCAATAAACACACCCTCCCCCGACTCTACTCTTGTCGGATCAAACTGGGTTGTATTTGCACCATAGTTTGTAAGGCGTCGCTTAGGCGATACGGCGCTGTCACTGGGACGCCTTGTTTGCTCACCACGTAGAAAACCTTAAGGAGACCAGGCGCTCGCCTAGGCGTCGCCTTACCTTGCCTTGATGCCTTGGGCCCCTTTAAAATTTTGAAAAAATTTATTTTTTAGTGCAGCCCGTTTTCTTTTAGTGTAGCCTAATAGACTTAAACTTATCTTCTCTCTCTCGGTCTTATCTGTTAAGCTTCCTTAAAATGTATAAGACCTATATATATAAATATAAATAAATAAATATATGTACACACACACATATGTATGTGTGTGTGTGTGTATATAATATATATATATATATATATATATATATATATATATATATATATATATATATATATATTTGTGTGTGTGTATGCAATTCTTTGGATGCTAAGTGTTTGGTTGTGGTTTGTCTTTTTTACAAGTTGAATGCGTTTTATATTTATTAAATTATCATATTATGCAACCAGATGTTATGCACTTATGCTATCACATGCCATTCTACTCCGTATGTATTTTGCGACCAGACATTACATAATGTATTGGTAAGTGAGTCTGAGTGTATCCTCTTATCCCAAGACATGCCATTCTATGCTTCCACTTTTACTACCTCGTTTCTATAAAAAAAATCAACTCCTTTATTAAAAAATGTTGAGGTTTTTCAATCAATATTGTCAAACGTTCCAAAAATACTTCATTTTTTTCCATCATAAAGTATTTGTTTAGTTTTGATTTTTTGCACTTAAAAAAGTTCAGCTTGACAATGAATGAAATAAAATTTACATGTATTTGTGTGTGTGTGTGTGTCTTTTAACAATTCTACACATAAATATAATTTTTCACAAGATTGGAGAAATAATGTTAGACCACCAAGAAATGATACTTTTGAAAACATGCATATATAAACCATCCTTTTCTCAAAATAGGGCAAACATGGTTAGGCCCCCTAGCTATTATCAATTTAGGCATATGTCTAACCCAAATGTAGTATGTCATTATTGCAATAGGGTAGGACATGTAGCTCCCGTGTGTTCTATGAGGCATATGCATTGCACCTATAAAGAAACACACAAAATATTTGGTGCTAACAAAATGAAATCCTTTGGAAAAGGATATTTGTGTGATAAACAATCGCCACAGGATAATGTACAAAAGAAATCTTACTATTTCTTCTACTTTGACGAAAAGAAAAAAGTCCATATTCCGTTATCGGAACCAACACAAATGACATTGAGATATTGGCACTCCGTTCAGGTTCCTACTTAGCCCCAGGTGGCGAAGTGTTGGGACTGTGCGTGCCCTCACCCCAACCCCGCATTAGTATAATATTGTCCGCTCTGGGCCAAGCCCTCACGGATTTGTTTTTGGGCACCTCCCAAAAGGCCTCATACTAATGGGGTTTGGTGAACCTATTTATTTTGGTCCAATTTTTCTTCTCCCTCCAGTGTGGGACTTGGAGGAATCCCAACAAACCTCCCCTCATCCAAGGACCACACAACTTCAGACCTCCCCTCCAGCGGTAATCCATTTTCCCTTTTTATCTGCTAACCATCTTGCACCGCCGCACACTCTTTGCGGGACACGCCGCCCGACCTCCTGTCGGGAAGACTTTCGACGCAAGGCTCGAACCGCAGATCTTTCCTTCGCTGGGCTACACCATTTGATCCGCCAAATCATCTTGTACCGCCGTGGCTATAACTTCACGGGACACGCCGCCCGACCTCCTCTCGTCGGGAAGACTTTCGACACAAGGGCACCACCTTCGGATCCTCTTTCTTGGTCTTGGTCCTATTGTTACACCGTCACACCGAGATTTTTCCACACTGCACAGTCCGCTGCTCACGCCCGCAAGAACCTGGGCTCTGATACCACATGTTGGGACTGTGCGTGCCCTCACCCCAACCCCGCATTAGTATAATATTGTCCGCTCTGGGCCAAGCCCTCACGGATTTGTTTTTGGGCACCTCCCAAAAGGCCTCATACTAATGGAGTTGGGTGAACCTATTTATTTTGGTCCAATTTTTCTTCTCCCTCCGGTGTGGGACTTGGAGGAATCCCAACACGAATAGCCGACACCTAAGGTGCCAAACCTTCCCGTCGATGAATGACTCTAATCTAGTTCATGGCCTATTAGAAGTGGAAAGCAGTTTGGTGGGATCTTCTTCGATCAGAATTGCTCGAATTAATAAAAAATTTTATGCAAGATTTTTGAGTCTCAACAGGTCTCGTGATTTTTTTATTTTAAATAAAAAAATTCATTTGGGGTGAGCTTTTGCTCTTAAAATTTTGGATTTTACAATTTTTCCTAGTTCAACTTTAGCCAAAGTAGTTAACGTTTATGTGAAAAAATCCTGTTTTTGTTCTCAGGTCTAGTTAAACTTAGGGGCTTTATCTATATTTGGTTTCACTGCTTGCTGTTTTGTCTGGTTCAATGATACCGCTTTTTTTTTGCATCAATTATTTTGGCACAAATATTTTTGGTTCTCAAAAAGAAACAGTTTGAGAAGTGTTGATCCAGGATTTCTTATTCTTTCTTTTTATATGAATATGAAAATTCTAATTAGGTAAAAATAGCATGGCACTTTCAGTAAACGTGAAAAACTCGAAGCTATCACGAATATGATAAGTATAATCAAAACAAAACTCAAAAACGGGACTCAATTGGTTCTAGTTACTCTATCGTGGTGATACCACCGAGAATTTTTTTTCAACTTAAATAACATACTCCCTCCGTCCCTAAATAATGTTCCACTTTTGACTTTTTGAGGATTTAAGGGAGAGATATTTTTGTGTTGACTTTCCAAAAATATCCTTGATGTGATGTGTTAAAGTAAGATGTGATAAGTAGATTATTAGTAAAAAGGTATGATGTGATAGGTAGGGTATGAAAAAGTAAGGGGTAAAAGGGGGGTTTTTAAGGGAAAAGAGAAGTTTATTTAGGGACAAAGAAAAAACGAAAGAGGAACTTTATTTAGGAACGGAGGGAGTATTATATATCGTAAAATAACAAGCATTCTTCAGTTCTATTTTTTTTTCATATGCTTGGGAGTCTTCTTTTTTCTCTAAAAGTTTGAAAAACGTCATCTAGACAAATTGAAGCAGGTCGACGAGCAAAGACACCAAATGCGCGTCGAGGAGGTAAAATCTAGGGCCGTGAGTTTGACTTTTTTATTTTTTATTTAATCAAATATCTACTTAACTCAGTGGTTAGAGCTTTGGGATTTTGGGCATAAAAATTTGGATATTTGATATCTTCTAAATTTGGGAGATCCCAAAGCACCTTCATTTAGAAGGATTGTGGTAACAGGAGATATTAAATCAAAACCCTTATTAGGCTTCACCAAATATCTAAAAAAGGATTTTGATATTGAGATCATGTGTCTCATGCGCTTCCCAAACGCGTCCTAAAAGAGTTAACATATCTATAAATAGATGTTAGCTTCGAGTAAAAATAATGGACTTAATCAATGGATAGTAAATGTAGCAATGCATCGAGGGTCTAATGGGAACAAACATCTCTTTTTCAAAGCACGGATAATGTTGCGTATTTGGGGACTGGGGTGTTATTATATATTGTGTTTTGCTATTTGTTTTACAAAGGTGAGATTATATTGAGTAATGCTATTGCTCTGCACTTGTACTCAACATTTCTCAGGTTGCTTAGTGTCATCATGTTAATGTTTACTTTGAAATGAATGAATCCCCCCCCCCAATGCAGATAGCAATCCTGCACTCGGGCATCCAATTGAGTATAAACCAGCGGTTTGCAAGACCTGCGGCTTACGCTACGTCCAAGATCACAGTGGTGGTGGTGGCCATCATCATTAAGATGCTGAGTGGCAATTTGTCCTCTTTTTCCAAGTTTTAATGGTCCAATCAAACTGCACTCTTGTCTTTGAAATGTATTGTTGGTGGCTGTAATAAGAACTATACCCATGTGTCTTTTATGATCTCGAATTGTGCTCGAATGAAGATTTCATTGCTATGTAGACTATTTGATGGTCAAAAGATTCTAAATTCCATATACCCGGAGTATATTTTACTTTAAGACAATCAAATAGGAGTAAATTCCTTATATATTACTCAAACATAAGTCTCAATTTAATTTGTCTATTTTGGTTTGTTTTAGTTTATGATGTTTGATTGAATTTATTTTCAATACAATATATTAGAGAATCGAAGTAGAATCAAAAGACAAAAACTTTACATATTAAAAAATTAATTAAAAAACTCTACGAATTAAGAAATGATATGATTAGATCAATTTATCAAATTATTAATGAAAATAAAGAAAGAAAAAAGTCAATAAAGTTTAATTCTATTAATAGTAAACAGATAACTTAATTTGGAAGAGGGAATCAACCTTTTTTGGGACCAAAATATAACTTTTCTATAAGAGTGAAGTCTACTTTCTTTTCATATCTTATTTTTTTATGAAACTAGTATTTTAACCGTGCAATGCGTGGGGTTGAACGAATTTTTTTTTATTTTGAATTTTTATCAATGTAATATAATTTTTGAAATCAAGTTAATATATTTCTAACTCGATTTTTAATTAATGGATTGCTGAAATTTTAAAAAAGTGATTATTTTAACCACACAATCTAAAAGCAACTCAAAATAGCTTCTAGACTTTTATTTTTTCCTCTCTAAAAAAATCGAGAATCATAACTAATGTGACTGTATTCAATTTGGATCTCCAAAGATTCTAAAAAATTGGTAGAGTGAGATCCAAAATGTAGAATCAAAATGCAAGGATGAAACCATTACTGCCAAAAGGCGTTTGCCTTGTTAATGGTTCAATGTTCAGTCCCACATAGTACTTTCAGGCTTCCATTATCATTCCCACAAGGCTCGCCATTTATTTATTTATTTATTTATTTATTTATTTATTTATTTATTTATTTATTTATTTATGATTATTATTATTATAGGAATAAAACTCTCCCAGGATCTTCAGTCAACGGATATGCAGAGTTGAGGGGAGCTGCCGGTCCTGCTCGGCGAAGGAGTGACGGAAATGGCAGCGGTGGCCGTAAGGACAGTTGTCGCCGGCCATAACCATGCGGCAGACCTCTGTTTTGTAGCGGGGATGCCTGATCACCGGCCTCAGCTCTGTGACGCCGTGCGCGAACTGGCAGTTCTCGCCGTAGGGACACTCGCCGGTTTCCTGCCATTTGTTGCAGAGCTCTGTCTTCATCATTCCCTGGTTGTACACCTCAAACTCCACGGATCCATCTTCCAGTTTTGCCCCCGGAATGTACACCGTCTGCTGCTGCTGCTCGATCAAGAGAGATCAGATGAACATAGCCAGGAAATCAGGGATAATTCAAAGCAGATTTGAGATTCGAGATTCCTTAACTAAAATTAAATGGAAAGCATGTTTTGAAATAATTTCATTAATTAAACTCACAGATTCGCCAAGGGGCTTAGTGTTGACACGGCGGCTACTCTGGCCGGCGGCGGCAGATCCATCCTGCGACGGCTTAAGTTTCTGGTAGCCACGGGAGCGAACAGAAATGCTCTTTGGAAGCGGGACTTGCTCTAGCTCTTGATCGCTTCTCTCTAGCCGGTGTTGCTCTGTGGCTCTCAGCGGTGGCCTGACGAGAGCGCCGCCGCGGACAGGAACGGCCGGAGCACCTATACCGAGGTGACTGAAATCGGAGAGGAGGCAATTCCGGATCGCCGCCTGAGAGAGGAGACTAAGGCGGTTGATCAAATCCACGTTGGCCAGATGAAGAGCCTCGTTCTCCCGACGGAGCGAATTGACCTCCTCCAGAGATTCGTGGAGGTTAGCGAGACAGAGAGCATAGCGATTGTACAGCTGCTGGTACTCGAGGACGAAATTGGCCTGGAAAAGCCGGCGTTCAGTCGGAATTGCTTCAGCTTCGTTGATGGAGGTCTCAGATGGAGATCCAGAATCGCGATCGAAGATCGAGGAGAAATCCTTCCTTGAATAGTCGGCTGAGTCGTACGACGGCGACAGAAACGGATTGCAGCCGTAGCTCGGTGATGAGGATCCGCCGGAGAAGGAAATCTCAGCGGCAGCATTACGGCCATCAGATGCAGAATTAACCTTCGCCATCGCAACCTACCAAGCTACATGAAGAAGATGAACAGACAGTTAAAAAGCAATAATCGCCGTCAAGGAAGCAATCGAATTCAAAATTCAAACGATTAAACCGATTAGAACATCAAAATCCAAACGATTAAACCGATTAGAACATCAAAATTGTTTCGGAACTGAGAAACTCAGTTCAATCAATCGATCGAATCAAAATACGGGAGCATTATCACTTCAAATCGAAATAAAATTGCGCAATTCATGAATCGAAGAAATTCATCTATCCGATTCCGATCGGAGCTTACGGATCTCCTGCTCCGGTCGGTTTTCAGTCGGAGATAGAAGTAAGAGGACGACGGAGATGAAGTTTATGATGAGATGGTTGCAGAAAGCATAAAATCGGAAGCTGCACGAGCAGCTCGGAGCACAGCCATCGCCTATTTATAGAACTTTCTCATTGGTTAGTTCATACAGAGCTGAAGTGTTTGAACACATTCCTTTGGCGGGGAAACATCTTTTCCGGTAAGCAAATTACGAGTTCCCGAGGGCGGGAAGGACTGACCCCAGTCAAGTGGGATCTGAGTCCGTAACTAGAAAACGCCAAACAGAGCAGAGTCCATTTGACAAGAATGATTATACCCCATTTGGTTCTCAAATTTGAAACAAAGAAAAAGAATTTTTTTCTTTAGAAATTACTTTAAATAGAACTAAAACATAAAAATAAATAAGAGATTCATATTTTTATTCTTGAAATTGAACTTCGCAATGTGGTAATATGGTTGTAATGTGATGCTGCACATATGCACATTATTATACTTTTGGTAATATACATGACTATGTTTGATAATAGAAATACATTTTAACTCCTAATTTAGAAATAAAAATATGGAAGTACTATTTTGGTATATTAACTTTGATTTTCTTATAGAGTCATGATGACCTTCCTATTTGGAACGAAGGTCAAGCTCAACCAACTAGGTGGTTTTTCGTTGGGTGGGTGAGATCTCTATTATAATTTTGAGTAAATTACATAAAAGGTCTCTTGTTATAAGTCGTTTTACATATTTAGTCTCTACATATCAAATACTTCCTCCGCCCGGAGTATTCGTCCAGTTTTGACTTTTGGAACAATTCATCTAAGCACTTTGACTCATCAAATTCTCTCAATGTGTAAGCCTAAATATAGTCATGTGTGATCTTGTTTGATTTGTCTTAACATATAGATTATTAATATATAATTTTTATAATTTTTTAATATACAAATTAAAAGATAAAATGGATTAAAGAAGTGTATTGAATGGTGTATAAAAATGAAAGTGGACAAATATTCTGGGACGGAGGTAGTATTACTAATTTAGTCCCTAATTATTATATCATTTTCACGAATGATCATTTGTAAACGTTTTTGTTAAGAATATGGATAAAATTGTATATTGATATTTCTCTCTCTCCTTAATTAAGCTTCCTCTCTCTTATTGTACTCTTTCCCAAACTCGTTGCTATGTTCGAACTCTAAACCCAAAACTGAAATGATCATTTCTCTCTCAATTATTAGTCTTCTTAGTGGAACCTAAAATCAAAACCAATAAGCTTTATGGATGAGTTTTAACGGTTAGTCTCAAGAAATTACAAAAAAATAAATATTAAAACTCATCCATGAAGGTTAATGGTTTAGATTTTGGATTCCACCAGTTAGACAAACAATTGAGAGAAGAGTGATGATTTCGGTTTTGGGTTCAAAGTTTCAAACTCAGTAACGAGTTTGGGAAAAGAGTGCGAGGGGAGGGAGGAAGCTTAATTGAGGAGAGAAAGGAGTGTGAATTTACAATTTTATCCACATTCTTAATGGAAATGCTAACAAAGAACCATTCATGGAAAGGAATATAATAATTGGAGACTAAATTAGTAATATTTGATATGTAGGAACTAATATAAATATGTAAAATGACCTATAACTGAGGACCTTTTATGAAATTACTCTATAAATTTTTGATGTAAGTTTTAAATATATAACCCCTACACCCTAGTAATTTATCTTGCCCAACCTTTTCAAGTTAAATTAGATAATATTTAATCATCAATTATAACCAATTCTTATTACATATTAATATAATAAAAAAATTTAAAATTTCAACAAGATAAACCTAAAAAAATTGTTTTTATACAAAAGCACATTACAATTTTTTATTTATTTGAAGTCAAATCTTTGTCCAATTTGATGTGAAAAGTAATACTCACAAATAATACATTGGGACAAATAGCACTAGTTAATTAGACCAACGGGTGATTGCATAGTTTGCATCGCGAAACTGTGGTGACATTGAGGTCATGAGTTCAAACCCGACCACCTAGTGGGGGATTTTCGACTTTAATCTGCAAACCCAATCGATCAAGATTAGTCAGATTTCGTCAAAGACCAGTCCGAAATGCTTGTGGTCTAACAAAAAAAGATTACTTGGTCCGTCCCTTAGTGTTTGTCCACTTTTGACTTTTGGAACTGTTCATCTAAGCACTTTGACTCATCAAATTCTCTCAATGTGTAAGCCTAAAAATAGTCATGTGTGATCTTGTTTGATTCGTCTTAACATAGAGATTATTAATATATAATTTTTATAATTTTTTAATATACAAATTACAAGATAAAATGGATTAAAGAAGTGCATTGGATAGTGTGCAAAAATGAAAGTAGACAAACACTCAGGGACGGAGGGAGTAATACTTTTAACACGATATAAAATTTCATATCTCTCATATCAGATTTTTTTGGTGTTTGGCGAGACATACAAAGAATTCAAAATTAATGTTTCCAAATATCGCAAATATTTCAAATGAAGAGTTTTGATACCTCTTGAATTCGAAAGATATCAATATACCCCGCCACCACCAACCATCCTCATTGCCAGCGATCGACCCTTGCTAATCATTAATTAAACCATAACATTAGATCTCTAAAAAAAACTTCATTTGAAATTTTGAAACCATATCATTTCTTCCAGATTTCAAAATCAATATAATATTATATTTTTTCAAAACTAACCAAAGATACCCTTAAATTGAAAACATGTTGCCCCATCCGTAACCATGCAACCACCCATGCATGCAAAATTAAATATAATTCCAACTACTACTCCCCATCCATCCATGAGTATCTAAATATGGCAATTCTAACTCTTCAAGGAAACAACTTTCCCACGCAATTTCTCCACCATCCTCCTATAAATTGAGCAACAAAACTTCACACCAAATTAAACCACCACTTCTTCATCCAAACATTAACAAGTCACAACTTTTACCAAAACCAATTCAAGTAATTCCCAAAAATGCTTAGGGAGGGTTCATTCCTGTCGCTCTACTTGATCGTGACAGCAATGCTGGTCGGCCAGCTGCGAGTCACGGACGCAGCTCAGTGCGCTGCCACTGAACTGCGCCCCTGTCTCCCTGCCATATCGTCAGGTCAGTCTCCGACATCGGCATGTTGTGCCAAGCTGAAAGAACAGACGCCGTGTCTCTGCGGGTACAGGAAAGACCCCCAGGTGGGGAAGTATGTCAACTCCCCAAATGCAAGAAAGGTGGCCAGTTCTTGTGGGGTTTCTGTCCCTTGTTAGAATCCCACACCGGAAATACCATGTATGAGACATAAATAGAGATGTAATAATGCCTTATTCCATCATAAGGCTCTTTTGATCATTGAATAATAAAACATGTCGACATGATATATGTATATGCTGTATATCCTTTGTATTGCCAAAAAATAAAGATTCTTAATCCATATCTTCATCATTGGTACACCTTCTCATTGATTGCAATATACACCGTACAACCGGTTGTATGATATTTTTCATACATTCGAAGTGAGTACTTAATTGGACACAATTGGATACTCATTTTTCAAACAATTAAATATTCATTCTCGAGTAACTAAAGACCCATTTTTCTAAAATTCAGTTATGCTCGAAAATGAGTATTATATTTAATTGCTTGAAAATAAGTATTATAGTAAATTGCTTGAATATGAGTATTCACTTATTCTAAAATGAATAATCAAATGGATGTATAGGAAATAATGTACATTTGGATGTATGATATAAGTTCTCGCCACTGATTATTCAACATTGAGCAAGAGAGTAATCAAACACATATAGCTCCAAATTTAATTTTAAAAATGAAAAAAAAAGAAAGTATTCCCTTCGTCCCACACTTATATTCTTGTTTCATAAAACGAGCTTGACTAAGTTCATCTTCAATTTATTTAAACATGCAAGTTGTTAAAATAAAATCGATATATTAAAAATTACACGCATCAAATGTTCTACTCTCTCTGTCCTAAAATTTATTTAAATTTTTTCTCTTTCATGTCGATAATTTTTGTTTATTTATATATTTTCAAGGAGTAATTAATAAATTTAAATATTCTTGTCACCTCTCATTGTTTAGAACGTTTGACATAATTTTTTAATATGTAATTTTTATTTCTTATTGATATACCAATTTGTAAATAAAATAATTCCAAAATGCGAAAGGTTTTTTCTCATAATTCTTAATTTATAATCAAGTTAAGGCGGATGAAGCTAAGCATAAAATAAAAGATTATTAATATGTTATTTTAACAAATTATAGTAATGATTAACCAAAATAAGTGAAGAAGGAACGAAAAAAAGTACACTATGACTTCAATTCTAAGCAAACCACTATTTTTTATATAGTAAACCACTAATGATGTTCTTGTGATTCCAAATTCACATATATTTTTTGAGTTAATATAGAAAATTTAAAATTCAAATTTACATACTCCAGTATTTTTGTACTCGCAAACAATAATATTGAAATAAAAGTTTTCAATTTTAATTACATACTCCGACTTTCGTGTACCAAACACATCCTCCTTGTTTTTCTTTTTAATTTTGTTAGCAAATCAATCCGTTTTTCTTTTAATTTTAATTTTGCTAGCATATACTCTGTATTTGTTATATACTCCGCCCGTAAAAAAGTAAATAACCTAGGTCAGTTTTTTAATGGAGGTCTAACCAAAATCCGGTTAGTAATTTCTTAATAAAAGAGTAATAAGACCAAATTTTAATGATGAAGGCAATAATGTACTTACAGTACAAATGTTGTAATGGTCGGTAATGTTATAGGGAAACAAACGGTAAACAATGGTCATTACTCATTAGTAGTAGTGATGGAGGCTGCATTGCGACGGAAAAATAAATTTATTTATTGTGGTCATTATTGAAGATGGAGATGTTGGTAGTGATGGTGGTAGTGTCAATGATAGTGGTAAGAAGTGTGGGTATATTAAACAAGTTTTGATATATTAAACATATATCATAAGATGAATCTAAATATATTAAATTTTTATTGAGTAAAGTGCATTGTTTACCCTCGTACTCTTTAGAAAGTGCATGTTTTACCACTAAACTATAAAAATTGCACCGTTTACCCTCGAACTCTTTGAAAATTACATGATTTACTCCTGCATACTTAAAAATGCACCAAATAGCTTTGAACAAATTAAACTGTTGCATTGTTGGTCCTAAACTATTAGATAGGGAGTGCGTTGCTTCCACGAATAACAATTGGGAATATGATTCATCTGATCCATGTGATTTTTCCAAGTACATTTTCCTAAAATTGTCGTCTTTATTTAAATGTTCAGGAGTATATACTACAACTTTCGAAAAGTTTAGAGGTATTTGGTACAATTTTTATTATTTAGGGGTAAAGCGTGCAATTAATAAAGAATTCAGGGGTATTTGGTGCACTTTTTAAAGTTCGGAAGTAAACCGTGCAATTTTCAAAGAATTCGAGGATAAACAGTGCACTTTTCTCAATTTTTATTATAATTAAATATGTTTTTCACACAATTTATGATCAAATAATGTCAATATTTAATTAAAAAATCAAAACAAGATAGATTTTTATGATCGTAGGAGAAGGATAGAGGAATAGAAGAGAAACCACTTCCATGTAATTCGAGGAGGAAGAAAAAGAGGATTAATGCCTTATTCATTTGAGTTGTAAAAACAAAATTGAATTTTACAAGAAATAGGAAGAGATTAAATAAAAATAGAAAAACATGAAAATAAATAAATAAATAAATAACTGAAAAAAATGTACGAAAATACTCCGTATAATATTAAAAAATTAAAAAATTACTACCTCCGTCCCACTCTCTTTGTCCACATTTGACTTTTGGAACTGTTCATCTAAGCACTTTGACTCATCAAATTCTCTCAATGTGTAAGCCTAAAATAGTCATGTGTGATCTTGTTTAATTTGTCTTAACATATAGATTATTAATATATAATTTCTATAATTTTTTAATATACAAATTACAAGATAAAATGGATTAAAGAAGTGCATAGGATGATATACAAAAAGATAAATGGACAAAGAGAGTGGGACGGAGAGAGTTAATAATAACCTCAGTAAACTTGCCCAACCATTTTTTGAATTGGGGAAGTGCCGGATAAAATAAACTTCTCCATACCTTTTTAAAGGGGATATGCTAGGGGTACTCCAAATGTACACCACTCCTCTCATATCCATTCATTTTATTTTACTTTTATATTTTACTTTTTTTTTTAATTTTTCTTGCTTTTTTGTGGTGACGAAGGGGGTGGGGACATTTAGGATACACTTTTGGTGTACTCCTGCCATTTTCTTTTTTAAATAGCTTTCAAATTCTTCTCCCCTTCCGTCATTTGCAATTTTCCACTCCACATTTCTGACTCTGCTTCCCCCTCTCCAAAGATTCCCTAATCTCTTCATCCAGATCTCCCTTCCCAAATCACCTTTGACTGAATTTCACTCTTCTTCAGCGAATCCAAACCAAATTGGATCGGAGGATTCCAATGGCGACTCTGCAAAAATTCAAGCTCTTTGCAACCCAGTGCGCAGTCGCCGGGAGCCCGACCCGGAGCCCGACGACCAGTCCTGTCGTCCACTTCCGTCGCCGGAAGACTCTCGGTATGCTGCTCAGCCTCGGCGCGGACCATGGATCGCCGGATCTGCGGAGGGAATCGAAGGAGGAGGAGAAGGAGATGGCGGCCAGGCGCAAGCTCAAGGATCTGTTCGTGTCCTCGTCGTCGCCGCCGCCGCCGCAGCCTCCCTGTGATAATATGTCGGAGAATTTAAGGGAAGAGCTATTGTCGGCGGCGTTTTACGGCGACGGCGGACTTGGTGGTGGCGGGTCCTCAATTAAACGAGTCGGGTCTCGGCCACTGTCGGCAACTTTCCGGCAACGGTTACTCCGAAGATCTTGGCGACCGGTGCTTATCGCTATTCCTGAGTAAACTATAATTGCCCGGATAATTATAATAGAACAAACAGATTTGCTTTATAAATGAATTTTTGGATTATTACGGAGTTTTTTTTTTTGACAAAAATATTTGGATTATTATTATTAATGCTCTTATTTTATTACGAATTAAGCTGTTTTTTCTGAGGAGTTAAGTTACCTTAATAAATACTCCCTTTCCCATTTCATATTGCATATTTTGAATTTAGAGCATATTTAAGAAAGAGAAAAAATGGTATTGATTTTCCAATAATGCTTTTACTTTGTTAGGGGAATGACGATGAATGAGAAGACAAGGTGGAGAAAAGTGACTTATTTTAGGAGTAGTTTAAGTAATTTACCTTTAAAAGTTTACTACTCCATATAATAAGAAACAGAAAATTTATTTTGGAACGGACAAAAAATGAAAACATGCAATTTAAAATAGAATGGAGGAGTATCAATTTGAAAGATAGAATATTATTGATATTCTAATAGAAGTCATAAAATAATGCAGGGGTAGTAGGGAGTAGGGACCATTTCTGGAACTAAACAAACATCTTAAGCATTTCAAATGGACCAATGTCATAACACTTTCACTATGTTTGGCACAAGGATTTTGGGACGAAAAGAAAAGAAAATGGTTTTCTCTCATTTTCCTCACCAAAATGGAAGGAATTTGATTTTCCCTTCACTTGGTACATTTTGCCTCCTCATTTTCTTTTCCTTCCACTTTTCCTCTTTTTTCCCCCCTAACCAAACAAGAAAAATGGTTTTCCACCTCATTTTCTTTTCTTTTCGCTTTCAAATTCTTTGAACCAAACATAATGTTTGTAGCTTAATGTCTAAATTTCATATTTTTGAATACTCCCTCCGTCCCTAAATAGATTACAATCTTTTTTTCTCTCCTCTCGATAACTTTTGTTTGTTTACGCGATTTCATCAAGTATTTGATAAAATAAAATATTCTTGTCATCTCTTGTTTTGTAGAACTTTTGACGTAGTTTTTTAATATGTAAATTTTATAGCTTATTGATATACCAATTTATAAATAAAATGATTTCAAAAAGTAGAAAATTTTACTCCGTAACCCGCAATTTGTAATCAAATTGGGGACGGAGGGAGTATAAACTTTGGAGTTCTAAATTTAGAATTTTTGTTTTATTTAAACACATCTAAAACATTAAACTTATATGAAGTTATAATATAGGTTATATGAAGTTATAATATAGGATTTCCAATGTTTTTATCCTGATAAAATGTCCCTAGATTTGAATAGAGTACAATCAAAATATCAATATAGGAATTGTATAGCTTTTATTTTGTGAGAGTGATGACAATATAACGATGGAAATACGATGGAGGATCTCTGGTCAGTGGTAGTCAACGTCAGCAATTGGCGGCATAAGTCCAACGTGGTAACATGAACTTCTATTTAGGTAACATGAATTAAAGAGTCCTCTTACTATTAGGGGTGGGCACGGGCCGGTCCGAGTCCAAATTTATATAAACCGGACTCGGCTTGTTTTTATTAAAACGGTCCGGGTCGGAACGGGTTTTCAAAATTTTAAAATTGGAACCGGACCTAACCCGGCTTGTTTGAAACGGGCCGATTCCACGGGTCAACGGGTCCGAACCTATCATGATACTAACATTCTTCAAAACAAATAGAAATTATAGAATAATGCCTTCAAAGTTCAAAAAAGAGGAATAAATGAAAAAAACAATGACAAAGACGGGCATGAGAGTAAAGTGTACACCCCATGATCATCCAACAACAACAACAAAAAGAAGACAACCACATTTTGGCATTATAATGTCAATAGGTTTCAAAAAGAGCAAAATTGACAATTTTCATGGCTTCCAAAAAATCCAAAAAACCTGCAAAAAACAATATTTTAAAATCAACCATATTCCACACACAAAAATATGCAAATGACTTTTAATTCAATAATACACTTTTTTTCTAATTCAGTGGAAACTAGCTTCAGTGGAAGGACCGAAAGAGTTACTAAAATTCATTGGAATAGGCGGGTATACCATATATTTACTAAAAAAATATTAAAAATAATATTAGTATTAAAAAAACGGTCCGGTCCGGGTCCTAAACAATTTCAAAATGAGAAACCGACCGACCCGGACCGTTTTAAATTTTTGAAAAGACGACCCGGACCTAACTCGGCCCGAACCTGGCGGTTCGGTTCCGACCCGCGGTTCCTGGACCCGAATGCCCACCCCTACTTACTATAGTATTTGCATCATCTATTATCCCTATTTAGATACTTCTTCGTTGCCCGAATCAAGTTGTCTTTTTTTTAATTATTAATTTTTGGAACACTTATTTCTTACGTGATTTGGCAAAATTGATTAATCTTACCACATAACCCCTCCGATATACTCTCCAGCTCTAGTGCGGCCCAAACCCAACCCTTACTCTTTCAATTTTATCCTCCAAATTTAATTAAATTTAGGGTAAAAAAATTGACTTCAGCGTAATTAAATTTTGATGGCACAATGGGAGGGGTTAGAAGTGGGCTCGAGTCGAATTAGGGTAGGGGGTTAGGAGTATAGGAATATCAATTTTTTTGTTTCATTGGAGGCAAGCTGCAAGCTAGCCAAATTAAAGGACCATGGCGTTGTCATAATCTCGTTTTGATATGTTAAGAGTAACTCCTCAAGGCCGCTTGGAGGCGCAGGGAGAGTGCAATCTCATACTCATCCCAAGTTCAATGTTTGCAAGCCAATCTGCACACTTATTAGCTTCACGATAGACACGACGAATCACATATTTGGATTTATGACGCAAAATTGTGCTACGATCTTCAATAGGAACTCGCAAACTACTATGTGTAACATCCCCCCATCACGGATGAGAGTAATTATAATTACTTGAGAGTCCATCTCAATTTCCAAACATTCAATCTCAAGATCTCTCTGGCAAGTTTACGCCCTTTGTGTAAAGCCACAACTTCAGATACAATGTTTGCGATGATACCAAGATTTGCCACGTACCATGTTCAATTTGGCATGTTATGTTGGGTTTGTGGAGGCTTGGTAACTCGACCATATACAACAAACCACTCTTCATTCCGCGGGCCATGACAAGATTTCCCTTTACGACCTTCCACTGCCCATCTCTGAACTTCACCTTGTGTCCCTGTTCGTCCAAGTGCCTGACAGAAATCAAACTTTTCTTTAAGGCTGGAACTATTCTAACATCCTTCAAAGTCCAGAAAATTTCTTGCTGAGTATGGAGAATGTTTGTTCTTAGGATGTTCCAGGATCCGGCAGTGTGCATCTGCAGTGGGAGCCGGTAGGGACCGAGGACGAGTCAGGGGCAGATTTAGCCGTGACTGATGTGTTGGAGCTTGGGAGAGCTTCAACGGGCATTTCAGTTGTCTGATGAGAGGGCCGCTGCAACAAGAGAGCTGAGGAAGATTGCCCGATGTACGCGGATGGCAGTTGATGACTATCAAGCCTCCAAGTGGGAGAATGTTGGGTTTGTGGAGGCTTGGACTTGACTTGTTGGCCCGACCCATGTTATGAAACCCTAGATGCGCTCTTCCTATATATATTGCATACTTGTACTTGTAATTGACGCTACAAGTGAAATAAGAAATTCTCCTTGTGCAGCCGTGTATTAGGGAGACCGAACCACGTTAAATTCTTGTGTGTCGTTTGTGTTCCATTTCTCGCAAATTATTTGTGTGTTGTGTGCTTAATTCCCAACATGTTAGCACCAAGCAGGGTGTGGTACAAAATCTCTTGGTGAGCTTTCATCTTAAAGGCCTAAATTATCTTCAATGTTACACTCAAAATTGGATTTAAACATTAATTCGACTATATATGGACTTCCGGCCATTTTCAATATCATCATTCCCTCCGGCAAGTGGTCGTGTTAGATTTCTACAATAAAAAACTCTTTAAGAAGGAATCTGTTCAAAACCAACTCATTTTAAAATAAAAGAACTATCTTTACAGATTAAAAGGGAATTTCTGTTCAAAACCAACTCCTTTTGAAATAAAAAAAGTAGCAATCACGCGTTAAGAACCAAATAATTCCAATTAAACTAGCTTTGGTTACATGCTAATACTTCTATTCCATTTTAAATTGTCTGTTAGTCTTTTTTATCCGTCCCAAAATAATTTGCCTGTTTCTTAGTATTATAGTAAACTTTAAATGTAAAATTCCTAAACTATCTCTAAAATAATTCACTCCTCTCCGCCTTGTCTTCTCATTCATCGTCACCCCTCCTAACGAAATAAAGGCATTTTTGGAAAATCAATACTTCATCCGCCCTAAAATTAACTACTCATTTGACTTTTCACGGTCTCCAATGCAACACTTTGACTATCAATATCTCAATTTTTATATAAATATATTTTATAAAATTTATATATTTCAAAATTATATTCCAAAATGAATATATTACTAATAAATTTATATGAAAATTCAATGTATTTGTTTCGTAATATACAGTCAAAGTTGAAAAAGTTTGACTACAAAAGTCAAACTGAGAAATTAATTCTAGGACGGAGGGAGTAATATATTCACTTCCTTAAATTTGTCCCAAATTCAAAACAAGCAATATAAAATGGGACGGAGCGAGTAAAAAATATGCTTTATAACCATCCATGAAAAACAGTCATAACGCGTGCATTCCAAATTGATTTACAACGGGTCATCATATCTTTAAAAAAAATATGTTAAATCATCTCGGAGCATGTATACAAACAACGGAGCTTACAATTTTATAGAACTAATGGCATATAAACGACAATATTAACAAATTTATAGAACTAAAGGCATAAAAACACAAGTGTGAAAAGTTGGGAATACGAGTGGAATCTATACATTTACTTGAAAAGGAAGGCAGGCATGTGCCATAAATTCACAACTAACTCAAAAAGTTAGCAATAGATCAAATTTTAATTCACTGTTCTATTCCCTAGATGAATAAGTAGAATCCAAATCATTAATTAAGTCTACAAACAACTTGCCCAGAAAATAGAGTTGTTAACTTGAGAGAGAGTTGTTTTTATTTATTTATTTTAATTGTTCCAATTTTAATTTGATTCTTTTCATAGACTAATATCAGGTAGTGAGATACATGTTTAAAATCTGGTTTTTGATGATTTATTTTAATTAATCACAATTGGTATTAAGTAATCTTAATATGAATATTATAATTATTAAGAAACACATTTGGGCATTTGGCTTTGTTTTGGCCTTTGTTTTTTGTATTCTGCCCGTCCTAGTACACGGTCTTAGGCACTTTCTAAGGTGCATCTTATTCTCGCATTTTCTAAGACCGTGTTTTTTAGGTTCATTGTGAGAGTAAGGACTTTTCTTCAATCGCCGCATCTTCTATCACCCTCTCTTTCTCAGATTGAAGATCCCTTTCTCTATTCCATCTTTTTTTCTTATCTTTGCACATTCTCTTCCTACGCCTCCAAAAACAAAAAAGAAGAAACAGAAAGGATCCCAAGCAAGAACTTCAAAAAGTGATGTGTAAGTTTTTTCTTTTGATTTTTTAGCAATGCACCTAAAACCTTGTGAATCGATTCCTACAGTTAGATTTTTTCAAAAAAATTTTTATAAACTATTTCACCAAAATTTTACTGAATCTCTGGTACTATATATCAATTTAATTTCTGATTTGTTTGACTTGAGTGATCTCGTTAGTTCTTTTGATAGGATTTTTTATTATTTAGACTGGCATTTTTTTTTACAATTTTTGCTTATTCAATGTAAGAGGCTATGTTGTCCTTAACTTTGACTTATAGTTTAGTTGTGCTTTAAATTAGGGACCTATATTTACCAAATGCTTAGTGCTGACCTAGTTTGTTGTGTTTGGTAGTTGCAAAGATTGGATTACTATTTAACATTATTCTCTATAATTTATTTTTTACTTTTTTTGTTCTTTTTTAGCAATTAGTATATGCTAATATGCCTCTTGCCCACAAGTTTAAACTTCAGTTGAACCCAGGGTTGCCTATCTCTCGTGAGGAGAATTACGTAGCCATGGTTAGATCGTTTTGTGCTCTGAATGGATGCAAAATTTTTGGAACTTCTGAGGCATAGATCCAGCGGGGTTACCTTGTTTTTGAACTTGAGATAAGCTACGGTCTTTACAAATCCAAATTTCTAATTGAAAGAAGTTCAATATACATAATTGGTTACATGTACTGAAATAAGTGGGAGATTTTTAGAGATACAGTTTATGTAATGGATGGCATTCTCAGGTCTAAGACGGGTAGTAGTTATGAGAATGATTTTACATCGACTTAAGGATTTTTGCCAATGTTGGAAGCTTTGAAATTGATGGGGAGTGAATCAGTTTGAATTAAGAAGAAAGCGTGTGAAGTGTTTTTCATTCATATTTCTGAGGCAGTCCGGTTTAAAATGATTCAATGTCAAGTGTATGAAGGGCTCTGCAATAGTGGGTGTAGAAGGCCTAATAACAGCCACTAAAAGAGGAATGCTTCAAGTCGTATGAAGATGCCCTAGTTCCTGAAGGAGAGAAAGGTGTGAGGAAACTGATTGAACCTGAGGAGAGCTCGCCTTATTGTGATTTTAAAAAAACTTTTGGTTTCATAAATTATTTTGTGAAAAATTGGGAAACTATATCAAAAGTATTGTGGGTGTATGGTGCCACGGGTGATAAGTACTTTGACAAGGTTTCAACGTCTAAATTAATAGAGGACTGTCAAGTATTTGATATCGTTACGTTGAAAGCTTGCATGAGTCCTCTTTCAAGTGTTGATATGGAATATATGGAGAAACCGGTGCTTGTTGATCTGGAACGTGAACCTAAAACCATAGAGCACTTGACAACAGTTCGTGAGATGTAGTAGAATGAAAAAAACGGAGGACTTTGCTTTGATGGTAAGTATTACTATTTTATAGTTTTTGGTATTATATTCAAACCTACTCTGAATTGTTTATTGATTTTTTTCTTAATAAGCTGGTATTTTAAAAAGAGTGGAAGCTTTGCAACAATGGAGTGGAAGCCATTGAAGAACTCAATTGTTGCAAAGCTTCCACTCTCTTTAAAATACCAACCTATTAAGAAAAATCAAAAATCAATAAACAATTCAAACCAGGTTTGAATATAATACTAAAAACTATAAAGCAGTAATACTTACCATCAAAGCATCAAAGCAAAGTCTTCTGCTTCTTCCATTCTACTAACATCTCATGAACCAGTGTCAAATGCTCTATGATTTTAGAATCACGTTCCAGATCAACAAGCACCGTCTTCTCCATATATTTCTTGCCAATATTTGCAAGAAGACCCATGCAAGCTTTCAACGTAATGATATCAAATACTTGACAGTCTTTCATTAACCTAAACATTGAAACCTTGCCAAAGTACTTATCACTCGTGGCACCATACACCCACAATACTTTTGACATAGTTTTCCAATTTTTTGAAAAATAATTTATGAAACCAAATTTTATTTTTAAAATCATAATAAGGCGAGCTTTCCACAGGCTCAATCACTTTCCTCACACCTTTCTCTCCTTCAAAAATTAGGGCATCTTCATACAACTTGAAGCATTCCTCTTTCAATGGCTAGTAGGGAGGCCTTCTGCACTCACTATTGCAGAGCCATTCATACACTTGACATTGAATAACTTTAAACCGCACTGGCTCATAAAGATAAATGAAAAACACTTCACACGCCTTCTTCCTAATCTATGCTAATTCGCTCTCCATAAATTTCAAAGCTTCCAACATTGGCAAAACCCTAAAGTCGATTTAAAAGCATTCTCATAACTGCTACATGTCTTACACCTAGGAATGTCATCCATTACATAAACTGTGTCTCTAAAAATCTCTCACTTATTTTGGTACATGTAACAAACTATGTATACTGAACTTCTATCAATTAGAAATTTAGATTTGTAAGACTGTTGCTTATCTCAAGCTCAAAAACTAGGTAACCCTGTTCCAGAAATTTTGCATCCATTCAGAGCACAAAACGATCTAACCATGGTTATACATTCTACGTAATTCTCCACACGAGAGATAGGCAACTCTGGGTCCAACGGAATTTTTAAGTTATGGGCAAGAGGAATATTAGCATATACTAATTGCCTAAACAATAACAAAAAGAACAAAAAAGTAAAAAATAAAATACAGAGAATAATACTAAATAGTAATCCAATCTTTACAACTACCAAAAAAACAACAAATTAGGTCACCACTAAGCATATGGTAAATATAGAATTTATGGTCCCTAATTTAAAGCACAACTAGAATATAAGTCAAAGTTAAGACAATCACATGTAGCACAACATAGCCTTTTACATTGAATAACCAAAAACTATAAAAAAAAGCGCCACTTAAGTCAAAAGAGCTAACCAGAAACTATAAAAAAAATCTAAATAATAAGAAAATCTTATCAAAAGAGCTAACCAGATCACTCAAGTCAAACAAATCAGAAATTAAATTGATATATAGTACCAGGGAATCGGTAACATTTTGGTGAAATAGTTCGTAAATTTTTTTTTTGAAAAAACCTAACTGTAGGAATCGATTTAAAAGGTTTTAGGCGCAGTGCTAACAAAATCAAAATGAAAAACTTACACATCACTTTTTGAAGTTCCTGCTTGGGATTCTTTTTAATTCTACTTTTTGGTTTTTGGAGGCATAGGAAGAGAATGCGCAAAGATAAGAAAAAAGATGTAAAAAGTTCTATTTCAATTTTGCTGAATGTTGAGTACAACAATTGAGGTCTAAATTCACTGTGGAATGAATTGATAATCAAATCAAACTCATTGATTTTAATTATTATTTTACCTTATGTAATTTTATGACTAAACTCATGTTAGACTTCCTTTTGCCGGTGCATATATATTAAAATTAAACAATGAAGTACCTTGTCTTTGTCTGATTCACTCTACCCATCCAGCAATCCTGCGTCAACAAAAATAACAAAATCATCAACAGCAAAACCAATACATTGTGCATTGAATCGTGATTCTTTATCTTGCAATTTCCCTAGACTCTTGTTATTACTTTGTCATCAAAATATAGAGAGACCGAGAGAGCCGACCAATTGTGTAAGAGAACATCTTGGTACAGAAACGTGTCAACATTTGTAAATATAATTTGTTAAATTCTGGAAAAAATATACAAAGATACTCAGAGGTTTGACCTTCTAACAAAAATACTCCTAAAATAAATATTGAACAATAATGTTCCAAAGAGATGATTTGTGTCAAGAAATACTCCTAAAACAATGTAGTTTATCATCTCTAATGTCCATACTGATGTTGGTTTGGCTAATCTGTCAGCATTTTTTACACTAGGACATGACTTATCCCTACTCTTTTTGGATGTCCATTATGAATCTCTAATTTTCAATTAGTTCTTAAATCAAAGAGGGAAAATAAATAATATAATTGAATGCTCCACACTTTGGAGCATCTTACACATGGTGGTCAAAATCGAGATTTTTCGTAGGATCGCTAGGCCTAACGAAAGATCGTAACATCGTAAGATCATTACATACATACATCCATGAACATGCATCTCCTTCTCACCTCCTCACTAAGATGTTGAGCCCAGACTGTATTCAGACAGCGAAGACCACGAGGAGTTTTGACATAACCCACCACCCCAACCACAACCATTGGCGGGGTTTCAATTATAGTCACTGCTTCACATCTCCTTCTTGTGCAGCTCTGTACACATAAATCAATCATTAGAAACACAACGAAGGTGATTATTTTAGAACACAAATTGAGATCAGTGATCCTTGAATCTTAATCCATCATTAATTTTTGCACAGTATGAAGGAATTGGGGAAAAAAACTATAAAAGCTAAGTAAAAACTTACTAGATCCGGGTTTTGCAACCTCTCTAACAATGTGAGTCATACCAGCTTTATAGCCAACAAAAGCTGTTAACCTACATGGCTTCGAAGGATCATCTCTGGGGAATGCATTCACTGCGTACATACCACAAAGGATTGTCAATGAAAAGGAAATTTTTCCTTAAAGAAACTGCAAGGTTGTTTGGTACTAACTGCCAGAAAATCATATCACCATTGAGAGTAAGAACAGATAAGCCACTGAATTTTAATATGGTAAAATAAAGATAGGAACATATTAATCCATTGCCTATTCCATTCATTATAAACAGGAAAATTAGAAGAGAGCACTGCCGGCCAACTCACATTTCATCAACATTTAAATCATAAATCCCATTGACAAAAATCATTAGAAGGACACAAGAGGATAGACATCTGAAAGGGATTAAAAAAATCATTGCCTAGTTATTAATATTAATATAATTATCATTAGATTATAATAAATTTTTATATATTCTCAGAAAACAAAAAAGAAGCGAACCAGAAAACTATGAATCCGGGTTGCGAAATCTAGCCCAAAATCAAACCTCACAAAGCCTCCAAAGTCAAATAATCTCATTGTTACTAACATATTAAATTTGCACTAAGAAGAAGAAGACAGCAAAACCCTGAAATAAACTGTATGAAAAAGAAACTCAAGTATGAATGCTATGGAGAACCTGAGTAACGGTCTTGCCGTGGCCATATTGAAAAAGGCATTAGCATCGGTTCTTTTAAAGAACCGATGCCATTAATCTATTGCATCGGTTATTGCGAAATGACCGATGCTAATACCTATTTTTATTTTCCAAATTTTATTTAATAACAATCAATTGCATCGCTTTTAAAAAACAACCAATGCCTTTGCTCTTTTGCATCGGTTATTCATACAAGCGATGCAATTGAGACACTTTTTTTGCCTTTTTTTGTAGTAGTGTATATATATATATATATATAATATTCATTCACGAATCACTTAAAACATTATTCTAAAACATCTTAAAAGTATGAAGATAAAGGTAATACATTAAAAAAAGAAACTTGACCAAAAAAAGAAACACTGCAAGTAGGCAGTAGCGAATGAAGCCTAAAAGGAAACAACTTTAAAAAAAAAAATCACTCCCTGTACTAAAATACAGTGAAGCCTAAAAGGAAAAAAACATAATATACTCCGTACAATTAAAAGGCTTAAAATAATACCTGGGCAAAAGTGATATTTGTGAGAGACGCTGTATTGCCGCTTGCGAAGGGAAATGGCCCATAGCGGAGCTAGAAGATGAGTGTGATGGCTGATGTGCAAAGGTTAATTAACTCTGTAAGATTTGAGCATATTTGTGTGGGAGAAGGGTCATATTTATAAAGGGATGAGGGGATAAACGTTAGGAAAGGTCGAGTAAAAAGCGACGGCACAAAACAAAATGTTTCACAATTTTCTTGTGGATCCCTGTTTTTGATCAGCAAGCTCACTCGATTCTAAGATTCTATTATCCAAATCGTCGATCCTTACGATTCTAACAAGAATTGCGATTTTCAGCACGAGTCAGATTGAAAACACCTTGGCGATTTGCAGATCATACAATCGTACGATCGATCGCGATTTTGACTACCATGGTCTTACAATTACACTCTTAAGCTCACATGTTTGAAATGCAAGGAAGCTCAGGCCAAATCAGTGAGGTGGCTAAAACAAAATAGCCAAATCAGCATAGACATAATGAAGGGATGTACTTCCCTATCTTTGAAGCTTTTTCGTGACATGGGTAATCTCTTGGGAGTATCCTTGTGTAGTAGTTATTCTGGAAGGAAAAGTTATACGATGGTCCAAGCATGGAAGAATTCATGTACATTTTCAACTAACTTTTATTAATCACGTTATTTATCTTCATCGTACAACAACAACAACTTTTATTAATCACGTTATTTATCTTCATCGTACAGTGTTTTATAATTTTTACACGTGTAGGACTTCTTTTTGCATAAATTTATTACAATTAAACATAAATTTATTGCAATTAAACAATGAATTACCTTATCTTTGTCTGAATCATTCCCCCCCATCGTGCACTCCTGCATCAACAATAAAGTCAATAATGATAAAATCATCAACAACAAATCCAATACATTGTGCAGTGAATTGAGACTCTTTATCTTGCATTTCACCAAGATTATTAATATCGCTTTGTCGTCAATTTATTGATTCTTAGTCTGTATTGAACATAAGAATCAATAGAACCATTTCAGAAGCACTTTTACATAAAGGTTCCCATAGTTACCCTTCATCGTCAAACTACATTGTACAACAGCATTCAAGAAATTCATCAATCATTGGTCATAAGCATCATGAAATGCTACAAATAGATCAATAACTTTGCTAATTTGGTTTCCCTGATTGACACATCACAAACTGAGCATACTACTAAAGATTATCAGAAATAACTCAAATAAGAATTCCTGCCATACCACTTTAGCTAAATGTTGCATAACATTTGTTCTGCACCATATGGAAAATTATGGGGCAATTTAATTTGTGTAAAATAAACGATTTACAAAGGGGAATCAAAAGAAAGTGTTTCACCATTAAATAATTGATTGTGGGACTCTAGCACCTGAGAGAACAGGCACACTGCTTTGATTTGGGACAGATCGTTATAAGCCAAAAACTGAAATAATAGAATCTCAAAAGGAATAACCAAAAAAATACACTTACTTACCATCACTCCAAGTCAACTTGATGTCAAGATCATGATCATTTTTCGGTTGGTTAAAGGAGTTACTTCCAATCATGAACGCTTCGGTGCACGAGAGATGATAATGCGTGCCACACAAATTTACATGAATAATGAGGGACGAACCCATTGGAACCGCAACTACACATCAAGAAAGTGGTACTCTCCCATCATCCTTTAATCGTACTGAATTCTTCTCAGTCCTTTTGAAAAGCACACTCCGAAAATAATCTCTCTCAAACTCAGTGGGGTAGTCAAAATTGCTATACTGCACAATTGCACTTCCATAGACTGTGTCAGGCCCGATATGATCACTTTTATTCTTGACAAAGATCTCGATTTTTGCTTGAAAAGCTCTTGAGAAAATGGAGTATTGCAATGCACAAAAGCCCTCTTCTCCCGGAAACACGGAACATTTTTGGGTGTCATATATACGGTCATGGCTAGCAAAACCTCTAATTAGAAATTTCCCACCAACATCTTTTAGATCGACCTTCAATTCAGGCATGCTATATTCATCAAGCCTCATATGCACATCTCCCAATGGTAACACTTTCTGTGAATCTTCTATTTCCACACCATCATTACCTGTCCTCTTGAACAGGTAGTGACTATTCTTACCGGAAGACAATTCTACAGTGCCAAAAATTTTCAATGCCGACCCCATTTTTTTATGGCCAATAAAGATTGAGTAAAATTCTACGAACATTGATGGTATCAGTGTACTCTCTTGACCTACATCATACCTAATTGAAAAAATATATTCATAAACCAACAAACACTGTAAAAAGTGGCTAAGCTAATACAGCTTCCGTCATTGGAAAATGTTCTCTCATTGACTATTGCTAGATTTAAGGTGGTCAAAAAAATATTTTGAGAAAAGGAAAAAAGAGATGTTGGGAATGTAAATAGTGTTGTTGGGAATGTTAAAAAGTGTTGTAAAAAGTGTTTTGGGAATGGGAAAGAGGAGTAAAAAGTAAAAGTTAGAAGTTTATTTTGGGACATTGAGAAATGGCAAGAATGAAGACTCTTAAAAAACGGAGGCAGTATTATGAAAGTGCACAAAAGTAAGATTTAAGAACCACAAACCTAGGGTTGCCAGTGTTGTATAATGACATTTCATTATTAGCCTGAAGAGAAATGACAAAACATTAGATATTAGGTGGTGTAAGATAAAATATATCAAACTAATGTAGTGCTCTCTTAAGGTAAAGTGTTGCCTTCTAACAATACTTGTGTAGTGTTAGTAATAGAAAACAATATAAACATGAACAATAATGAAGCCTTAAACACAACCCCCCCCCCACCCCAACAGGTTAGGCCTAGAGGTTTGCAACCTTACCTCACCAACAGAGAGGCCATTTTTGTTAGACCCATGATGCATGGTTACATTTAGAGCCAAAAACATCATTAAAAAACGAGTAATAAGCAAGAGAAGTTTAGTATGCCATATTAATTTAGTCCATATGCTAAAGCATTGTCAAAATGACTATTTTACATTGGCAACGGGGAAAGTTTGAATTCAAAAATCAAATTCATTATCTGCAATATTTGTATTACTCCTATATATTTATCTAGAGTGTATGGTGAATCATAATTTAGTGTCTTAAGCCCCCTCTGGAATTCTTTTTGCATAGAGTTATTACGTTCAGAGAACAAACTACCTTGATTTTGTCCACACTTGACTTTTGTGGATATGAAATCAACGCTCTTATGAGAATAATCGCAAAATCACCCTCCACGTCCAATACACGATCACCTGCAAATATGCCATCCTCATTGAAACATTTAAATGTTTTCTTAATAGGCTTTTTTGTGTTGACGTCCATCAAGTCCAGCTCAACTTCAAGTGACGAATATGCAGGCAACCTCAACAATTTTCTTGACATACCGAGCTTATTATTCATCTTTACTGATTCAGAGCCATTCTGCTTCTCAAAAAGAACGCACGGTTTCGAGTTATAGTTTCCAAAGGTGTTCTTATATCGTGCAAAAATTTTTCCAGCAAGATTAACAACTATGCCCTCGTTTTTGCTATCGAATAGAACTTCAACTTCGCAAAGGGCACCAAATGGCATTTTAATATAACTCAAGGTAGCGGAGCAAAGTGTATCCTGGAATTCTTTGGATCTTAATTCCTCAACATCTCCTTCAGTTGTACCCCCCACCAAAAACTTTTCATGAGCAAACGAATGGGAAAAATCCCCAATTTTGAGATAGAGATCAACTTCTATAGCTGTATTGTACAAAGGCATCATCAAATCACAGTAGCTAGTAATCCCAGTATGAGAAATATGAGGCCCAAAAAGAACTAAATTACCACCACTCGGGCTTATGTAGTCGGCATCATTGACACTTCGTTTGTAAACAACAAGCTGCACCTCGTCTCCACTAGCGATATTTTGATACCGAACCCGAATCGTACCATATACATGTAGGGGTCCATTTTCTGGAGATTTTGGCTGTACACATACTGAATGCACATGAAGTAAAGGCCCAGCTTGAACATGTTCTTGGCCTTTCTGTTTTGCGGTTTCACGATCGAAACTGATATCATGAATATACCACCTTTCCATGAATCTGAGAATGTCAGTGCCGCGCAAACACCTTGCCACAAATGGGCCTTTAGAGATGAAAACATTCTCCATATCTCGTACTGTAATATGGGGGTAACGATTTATAATTTCCATGACATCTTTACGCGAACCATAAGGGTAATGTTCCATGAAGAGATCCATAGTGCAAATAAAGATTCGCTGCAGAATATTGTGTCCAAATATGAGATCAGAGATCTAAAACGTGGGTTCAATAACTTCATTTCAAGGTTTTTCTTTTGATGAATAAAAAAACCACAGATTAATACACTACTACATGAAATCAATTTTTCTTACCATAACCTAATTGTGGTTATGGTAAGAACACTAATTCAAAGAATAGGTTTACCTCAAAAATGGATTGTTTCGTAAGCCAGCGGCGAAGAGCGAAAGATTTTTCTACACAGGCGATGCGATGAAGAGAGGGTTGGGAGCGAATTTTTGTTCTCTTTGAGATTCCGACACCTGACCTAATCAAACAAAGCGTCCGTTCCGTGGCAAGTTCTATTCAGGGGTGTACCCGGTGGATTCTCTTATTTTGGCTGTGAATTTGGAAGAAAACAGAAAACAAAATGGTTATCAAACTGGTTCTAGAGTAACTCACTCTCGGTGAACAAAACACCTTAGACACTTTGAATCTAGTCCCATCCGGAGCCACTTAAAGGGAATGGATGTAAAAATGGCAGAGTAACCCTAGCACATCAGTCTTTCAATATCTTTTATTCTATTAACTTTTATTTCTATTTTGTGCAACCTTGTGAAACGATTAGGGGTTTTATGAATAAGTTTTGAAAATAGATGGAGCAATGGGACATTCCTACCAATTTTACAGACCACAAGAAACAATAAAACTATTTTTATATAGTCTATTCAAAATTCTATAGTCATCATAGTTAGTAAGGCGTCGCCTAGGCGTCGCCTAGGCGCTAAGGCGTTATGTTTTGCTCGCCTTGGTTGCTCGCCTCGCCCAGAAAACCCTAAGGCGGTCAGGCGCTCACCTAGGCGTCGCCTTACCTCGCCTTATGTCGCCTTTCTCGCCTTGACGCCTTGGTTCACTTCAAATTTATGAAAAGCCCAATTTTTTCTAGTGCAGCCTATTTTTTTTAGTGCAGACCATCCTTTTAGTGTAGCCCATTTTCTTTTAGTGCAGCCCAAGTATTTTGCAAGTCTATTTTAAAGAGTTTAAGAAGATTTAACTTAAATTATCTCTAGGCTCGATCAAGAGCCTCTTCCCATTCCAGATCTGCCGACTCGCTTTCTTCTAAATGTTTGTGAACCCTTCTTTCTTTTTCAGATTATGTGTGGACTTTTGTTTCATATGTTGTGCCTTATTATTTATAATATACTCCGTATATATATATATATATATATATATATATATATATATATATATATATAGGTCGCCTAGGCGTCTGCCTAGTCGCCTAGGCAGTATGAAGGTATATTGGCGCCTCGCCTCGCCTTACCGCCTTACAAACTATGATTGTCATTTGGTATTTTAAACTAAACAAATAACTTTAAATAGGAGTAAAACATAGAAAAAGTACTAAAAATAAAAGTTTTATTTTTATCTCAAAATAGAAGTTTGCATTGTGTTAATGTGACATTGTATATGGACATTTCACATTTTTTAGCATTATACATTGACATGATTTGCATTATAAATATATTTAACTCATATTTTATTGAGAATAAAAACATGAAATTGGTATTTTGATATATTTTATATGTTTTACTCTTACTTTAGTTTTTTCCTTTTAAATTATGAATATATAATTATCAAGAAATAGAGTAACTGCATACACAATCTTTAATTATAAACGATTTCTATATTTTGTCTGTAATACTAAGAAATTACATAAATCGTCCTCAATTTTTGAAAACTATTCCATAATATGTCATTCAGGAACTATATGCGGAAAAAATATTTGGCACATACTTCTCCTAAGGACCAAATGAAAAATGTTAGAAGATCTACATTTTAAATGTTGACCTTATGACCATGTAAGCATCACTCTTGTCCTAAATGACTATTTATGGAATTATTTTCAAAAATTGAGGACCATTTATATAATATCTTAGAATTGTAGACTAAATATGAAAAACCACCAATAATTAAAGATCAATTATAGAACTTACTTTCAAGATTATATTTTTATTTCTCTCTTTTTACTATAATACTACCTCCGTCCCGCTATATTCGTCCACTTTTGACTTTTGGAACTGTTCATCTAAGCACTTTGACTCATCAAATTCTTTCAATGTGTAAGTCTAAATATAGTCATGTGTGATCTTGTTTGATTTGTCTTAACATATAGATTATTAATATATGATTTTTATAATTTTTTAATATACAAATTACAAGATAAAATAGATTAAAGAAGTGTATTAGATGGTGTGTAAAAATGAAAGTGGACAAATACTCTGGGACGGAGGGAGTATTATTTATCTATTAAAATAATTATTACTATCATATTTTAAATTGATGTGTTAGTCAAGAATTTCAATTTTATTACCATTAGACCTTTTATTTGTCTCTTATAGATTTTCTCATTATCTTTTTTAACATTTGTAAATATCAAGATTATCCCAACCTTATTTATTACTCATATATCATCTCGTTAATACACTCCACCCATTTTTATTAAAGGTATTTTGGTAAATCATTATCTTTTATCAAGTCTCCTTAAAAATCATAAAAAATAAAAAAGGAGAATCTCATGGAGACAGAGGGAGTAGTTAATAATGTTAAAAAAAGTAAATTATAGAATAACAAAAATCACATAAGGAAAGAATTCCTAAAATTATCACGTAAAAATTATTTAAATTACATAAGGCAAGAATTATTAAAATCATTCAGCAAAAGTTTTGAAAATTACACAATGCAAGAAATTATATTTGAAATTATATTTTTATAACTTGGTAAACTATAAAACTTGATTATAAATAAGGCAAAAATCTAGATTTTATCGTAACTAAAACTTATATTTAAATTAAAGTATCACCTCGGATTAGCTTTAGTTATGGCAAAAATATAAATTTTTAATAAGGTAACTAAGGTATAAAATAGAAAATGCGTCATTTTTTTAATAAAATTATAAAATGAGTAATTATAACTTATAAAAATGTAACATTAAAATAGTAATTATCAGCACATACTCTAAAAATGAAATGGCATGTTGACGTGTCAAAAAATGGCCAAGTGTGTCATCCACTTGTCAAACTCTCAAGAAGCGAGTTTTAAATATTATACTCCGTGGTAAAAGATTCAATACTCTGCTCTCTTTTTAAACTTCCTCAATACTTTTTCTTTGTCTTTTTTAAATCTCTCTCTCCCACTTTCTTTAATTCCTTTTTAGGGACTCGAAGCACGTAAACTTTTTGTAAACGGGGTCCCATGGATGGCGCTAGTGATGGAAACCACTTTTTTGGATCGTCAACCCGATGAACTCGGTAACGGGTCGGCACCGCACTGAATATCAAAATTTGGTAAATAATTAAATAAATAAAGCGAAGAGAAAGTATTTTTACGTGGAAACCAAATTGGGAGAAAATCATAGGCCCTTTTAGGCGGTACCATGCCAAGGAGAAATTTTTTTTATTAATATCGAGAAAAATTACATATAAATGAGTGTAGGAGCTTGGAGTCATTAATGGAGTTCCAAGCTTAAAGAAAAAGAAACTAACTAGTATGTGGAGTATGAGAATGTAGAAGTGAAGGGAGTAAGTCCTTTCATCTTATCAAGGCCCTCACTCCCCTTTGTCTTGTAATATTTGGTGGGGGACAAGATAATATTCTTAACCCTACAACATAATCTCTGGGCCTACAAATATTATCATATTTTATCAATTTTATCTTTTTCGTCTTCATATCTTTGGTTTCATCATGAATAAAATTTCTGTTTCATATCTTGAGTCAAACTTGTTAGCCTTGATTTGCTAAGCCTCATGTTTTGATGTTAACAAACAATATAAGAGCTTGCCGGTTGTTTAAGTGTTTCAGATACAACAAAATCCATTAAAATTCGGTACTCAAGAATGAAGTTGAAACACCAAACTAGCTAGAATATAGGTAGAAACCAATGTAAGGATATGACTTTATATACCTATATTCACAAGCTCAAACGCACTCACAAAATATGTTTAAAATCATCCCATAAAAAGGTTTTAAACTCAAATAAGAAGGATTACGGGAATTTTGGAAAATTCAGGACAGTGGCACGGTACCCCTAGCGGTACCCCAAACGGTAGGGTATAAAGCCTACACGGTATCTCATACCGTGTAACGGTACCTAGGTACCGACGGTAGGTGCAAACGGTTAGACCAACCCGTCCTAACCAGGTACCGCCACTCACGGTACCCCCTACCTGTTCGCACGGTACCTTGATACCGTGAGGACGGTACCGGCCTACCGTGACCGTTGGGTTACTGTTCCTGATTTGCGATTTTGAATTAAAGCAACCCTAATCACCTCCCAACGGCTAATTAACATCTTCCACTATAAATACAAGCCTAATCCTTCATATTTCTTCAGGAAACAAAGCTCCAAACATCCTCGTTTAATATTTTAAGTGAGTTCACTCCTTTACTAATTATTTTCTATATTTTGGCTATTTTAAGAGCCTTAAATTCCTGATCTTTATACACACACTTTGAGCTTGTGTTTCTAGTTATATACTCTCATATTCATAAGTTTGAATTGTATTTTTGAGAGAGTATACTTTCCTTCTGCACCGGCTAAGTTTTGTTTGTCATTTTTATATTCAAGCCGTTGTGTAGAACTCTTGTTTGTGTTTTTCAAAACACACCTTCTTACGGTCGAGAATAGCCGTTAAATTCTCACGTTGTAAAGGTTCAAGGATAGCCTTTGAAATTCTTGGGGGAACGGTAGAAGATAGCCGTTAAATCTTCATTGTAAACGGTTCGAGATAGCCGTGGTGAAATCTCGGAGTGAATCCTATTGGCAAGGGTTGTTTGTCAAACTAGTGTGGTGCTTTGACGGAGTTCAAGAGGCCGGAACTTAGTGGATTCGGAAATCCTTAAGAAGGAGCCTTAAGGTACTGGAGTAGGGAGTTCCCGAACTAGTATAAATCCGGTGTGCATTTTATTTACGCTTTTATTTCTGCATTTTATATATTGCTTCCGCATTTGCCAACACCATTTTTATTTAACTCCGAAAAGTTTTTCAAACGCCTTATTCACCCCTTTCTAAGGCGTGGGCATAACGCCTTAAGCTGGGCTTACTTGTACTGTTCAAATGATATTAGATTAGATAAAATCTCTAATCCTTCAAAAGTAATGTCATATTTTATAATAATTGATTATTGTCAATGATTTTCTTTTTCTAAATTATAATAATAATAATAATAATAATAATAATAATACTCCCTTCATCTATTTTGAATTTTCCCACTTGATTTTTTCTAATCTTCAAGATAATACTTTAACTATTTACATCTGATAGTGTAAATTGTCGACCGGTATATTGTTTTTAGCCGGGCAAAAACAATAAACTAGTCTAAAAAATACACCAAAATATAAACACGGGGATTTTTACGTGGAAACCCAAATTAGGAAAAAATCATGGGCCTTTTTGACGGTAGCTTGCCAACGGGGGATTTTTATTAATATCGGGGGTGTGTACAAGGTAATGATTTAGACTAAGAGCCATGAATGGAGCATTAGCTCTTGAAGAAAAGAAAATATACACACTAAGGCTTTCTAGAGAGAGAGAGTAAATGAGTAGGGAGGGAGTGTATTGAGAGAGACCTCCCTTAACAATTATGACAACTCTCTCTTTTATAGGAGATAGTGGGAGTATCTACGGAGGAATATTCTCTTATTCTTCCATTTTATTAAACATGCCCGGTTTGATTGTTTTCGTAAATAATTGGGAAATGTGGACCGAGATTTGTACCGTATCCCGTTATACCATCTAAAACAACTTTTCAATAATTAATCAATCCTCCTATATATATATATATGTGTATGTTTGTATGTATGTAAAATGTAAAGAAGGAAACACCATTGTTGTGGAGAGCTAGATGCTCAATGAGAAATAGAAAGATTGAATGAGAAATAGTAAAGTGGGAATGTGAGGAATTGTGGTGTTGGTGAATCAGAGAATGACCTATTATTTATACTAGGATTTGTGAGATTGGTATGGGATATAATGTTGGATTTGACACAAAGTTACTTTTTCATTTACTTTATGGAGCCACTCAATTTTTTCCCCAAAGCAAGTTTATGGAACCACTAAATTTTTGTTCCCCAAAAATTGTGTAAATCTTACTATTTAATTGATTAGATGAAAAGCATTGATATGACACTTTTCCACATAAAGCATTATTACTTTACTTTATCGAGCCACGCACAGCCATCTACCGCAGCCCCATAAAGATGCACCGCAGCCCCATAAAGCTGTCAGCAGCATGCCCAAGAGATGAGCAGTAAAATCGGCCCATTAAGAGCAGGCCCAACTGTTGTAGGAGAAAATGGCGGGAACACTGTTCATAAGCTCCTCTTATCATTGTATATAGGAGGATTTTTAATTTGAATCTATATAATAACTAAAATTTTAGGCTTTTGATTTAAAAAAACATGTTTTTGCAAGCCAAAATTGCTAGAAATGAGAAAGCTAACTAAGAGTGCCACAATCAATTCCATAAATGTCAAGGATGATGAATCAGTCAAAGGTATGGCAAATACAAAAAAAATGTTTTTAACACTTATTCTATTCAATATTAAAACTGACCATACCAATACTATCTTCTATGCACACATATATTAAACTACCTTCAATTCAGTGTTGCTTCAAGGATGAATATTTTAAAAAAAAATTTAAGTGGCAACTAACATTTAATACTCTTCCAGAAATGAGTAAGTAAATAGACATAACATGCAAAAATAAGATAATGTGATGAAATAAATATATGTATTACCTGTAAACGTTGTGTTCTTTCTTATGTATGCAAAATAATCATCTCTGGCAGATGGAGGTGTGATATGTGCAATTGAACCTTACCATGTTCAAACTAATTACTTGAACATGTACAAACAGGTTCAAAGACTTATTTTTATTTTAATCTACACTCCCATAATTTTTGGTCAGATCAATAGATGTATTGTCACATATCAAATTTTAAAATTGAAATTCTTAAGAAAATAAATTTAAAACTGCATTGACACATATCAAATTTTAAAAATTCTGTTTTTTGAAAATTATAAGAATAGATGTAAAATTAGGTTGAAGATGGTAACAATAGATGTAAAATTTCACCACCATGGCACCATGTATTATAAAAGTAACAAAAAAAATTTAATGGTAACAATACATGTTCAAAAAAATTCAGTATATGTTACAAATTTAATAGTAGATGACAATAAAAAAACTTTCCAAAAAAAATGATATCAAATATGCTTTAATTTAAATACATCTGTTTTTAAAAATCAATGTAAGTATGATGATATGAAATTAATCAAATTTCATAATTTTGTAAATGCACAAGGAAGCAAACCGGATCCTAAATATTTATTGACCATGTAATAAATATATAACAAATAAAGAATTTCTTGAGGATGGAAATAATTTAGAACAAGACATGAAAAAACATTTTTTGACTTTTCAAAAGATTTTTGATTAATTTATGAAGCTATTCACTACAAACATAAAATTTAACATGCATTGTGTTTTTAAACAGATCTAAAAATTTTATACATTCATAAAATTAAAAATATCCTCTGAAATTTTTAAAACTGTAATAAATCAAAATATCTTACAAAAATTCTAACCCTTAATAAATGGGAGTATGACTGGAAAACAAAATTACAAACAAAGAAATAAAGATACCAGCGAAAAATGGCATGATAAACCGGCAATGAAACCTCCATTGCCGATCATATCAAAGCAAAGAAGATGGGCAGATCTAGAACTGGAGAGAAGCAACGGCGTATGTCTGTGGCCGAAATGCCTCCGGGAATAAAGATGGGCAGCGAATATAATGTTTAATTGAAGGGCCAATTATTGTTTTGGGCTTTTTAATGGATATGGGCTGATTCATGGATTTGTGTTTTTATTAGAATAATACTCCGTATGATGATACGGAGTACACAAATATGCTTTCCTAAGGGTATGTTTGGTTGGAGGTAGATAAAAGTTTTATTAGGTAGGTAATGGTAGGTAATTGAAGGTAGGTAATTGATGGTAGGTAAAGTAAGGTAATGAATTAAAAAAATGTGTTTGGATGTTTATGAGGTAACGTGAGGTAGGAAAAAAATAAAATTACTAAAATATCCTTGTGGTTGTTTTTCTTTATTTGTTTAGATGTATTTATTTGAAATTATCTTTCACATTATATTAAAAAAAACCATAAAAAAAGAACAGAAAAAAAATGGGAGCAGAAGGGTGCCGCAACAACAAACTCAATCCCAAAACAGGGAAAAAAATTGGAGTAGAGTACAAAATCACAGAAAAAAACAGAGTAGAAATTGGGTGCCGCAACAACAAATTCAATCCCAACCCTATGTGATAAACACTGGTGCAATTACCAAATTTATTTTGTTAATACCAAATATTTATGAAGTATGTATATGCTCCTGCCTTCTAACAAGTTTACACAATTAAAAACTAAAAAAAAAACAGATTCAAAACAGATTAGCCATTTGTCCCAGGCTGGATCCACGGAAATAATACCTTTATCGGCTAATTGAAATAACGATGGAAAACAGAGGGGAAGGGGAAGATTGGAAATTACCGAGATGTTTCGCCAATTTGGCGATCATCAGAAATACACTGTTCATAGGTAACCCTACCTCCCTTTACCTCTCACTACCTTCCTTTACCTATCTCAATTTTTATAACCAAACAAGGTAGAATACTAAATCTACCTCCCTTTACCTTCCCCTACCTCCAACCAAACATACTCTAAAAAAATTAAAGGGCTGGGATTTTAAATGTTTTTTCAAAAAAATTAAGTTATTTTATTTATTGAGCAATTATAACAAGAATTGGTAGTTGGTTAAGTCCATGTTACAAGTGAAAGAGTACTCAGGCTCTGTTCCGTACGCCTGATCTGATTGAATCTCATCTGAATTTTGAAGTTCTGATCTGATCTGATTGGGTTTGGTCTGATCTGATTGGATTTGATCTGATCTGATTAGATCTGATCTGATCTGATTGGATCTGATTGGATCTGATCTGATCTGATTAGATCTGGTGTAAATGAATTTAAATTTGATTTAAATTAAACTTTAAATTATTATAAAATTTAATAGTTTAAAGTATTACAATTCATATATACATAAAAAAAGTAAAATAAGAAAATCAACTAATCATTAATATATTTAAACTTTTTTAAAAAAATATTAAACATCTTTTCAATATCACAACTTTTTAAATTTTTGTGAAAACTAAATAATCGGCATTAAGATAAACAAATATTAGAAAATATTGATGATATTCTACAAAATTATCACATTCTATATACATATTACATAATAATATATTTCATGCTTACAAATTGGTGACGTGGGTTGGGGATTATTTTTCATTTTGTGATGATTGTGCGATACAGACACCGCCTATACTCACACCACCTTTACCGCGACGATCTAAACAACTTAAAATTCAAACAAAAAGTATTTCAATCATCAGTATGTCATTGATTAAGATTATGAATTATCAATTATCAATATGTTCATAAGATAATTAATGTTGTTACTTTTGTATTGTACAGTTCTATAATGGTAGAACAATTTTTAAAAACTTTCAGCATGTAATCTATAAGAAATGTCAATATTTCTATGCATATCATGATTATGACCAATATTGGTTTTTGTTATTAAATTCATATTTCATAACTTTACCTATTCTTTAACACATTGTTCAATGTATTACTATTCTATTCCTTTTTATTTGATTCTATTTAAGTGAAACATCATTAATATGCACTTCAAAATTTATATTTATGACATATCTCGAAAATTATTTGAATAGAAATTAGAAGATTTAAGATTTCAAAAGATAATTACACATCAACAAGTTTTGTTGGAATAAATTCGAGGACAAACTCTCTCTTGCATCCACTAAAAACATCATCAATGCAAGATATGTTCACTCCATCACCATTATCGAACTTAACGAATGGTATGTTCATTCAATCTTTTTTCTATGTTGCAATTTCACGTGTTACAAGTCGTGAAAGGTTAAAGATCTTAATTGACAATAAAGACCTTCTTTCAACGAACAAAACTACGAATGTAATTTGTAAAATGTTCCAAAACTTATAATACTGCATTTCGACTAATAGCGTTACTGTACACTACCTTATTTTGGGCAATTATCATAAAATTTGTACTCTTTATTTTTTTAACTTTTTTATGTTATTTCAACTCAAGAGTAATTTGAGTTTTTTACTCCCGTCCATCGCGAGTCTAGTGAATATCAACACAAACATGAAAAAGCCATCATCCCCATCTTAAGGAGCGATCAAATGGAAGAAGAAGAAGAAGACGAAGACGCAAGAAGGGAGGCCGCGATAGCCTCAGCGCGCACTCTGCTCCCCGATATCAGGCCCAATTCCGCCGTCACGGCCGACCAGCTCTCCAAGTTTCAAGTACGCCTCTCTTCTCATCCCCATTCTATCCTTGCGGTGCTCATCCAGCCAGAAATTTGATGCGTTATAGACTAGATAGTCGAAGAAATAGAGATCGAAAGACAGAAATATGATCCTATTTCATGTGAACTGTAATGGTGATTGTGAAATCGATTGTTGTGTTATATACTAGAAAATAGAAAAAAATTAGAGATCGAAAGCCTGAAATATGACCTAAATTCATGTAACTTGTATACTGGTTGTGACTTGTGAAATTGATTGATGTGCTATGGATTAGTAAATTGCACAAATAGAGATCTAATTCCAGAAATATGCATTCTATAGTGAATGTGAAAGAGAAGAACACTATTTTTTTTCTCTTGGAATTCCCTGTCCAACCATGTAAAGGGTCCTATGTTACTAGAAAATAAGGTTTCACTTTTCTTTTGAAGAAAAATCTGTTGTTCATTCTACCGCTGTCCAGCTCAAATTTCCACCCTTGAGTGGCATAGTAATTATGGAGTAAGAAATTGTGAAGGTGCATGGTTGAGGTTGAATTAGAAGGTGATATGAACCACAAATTTCTTTCTTTAAATAAGAAAATGGGAATAGTTTAGGGACCTACAAAAGAAGAAGAAAGATTGAAAATATCGAAGAGGCAGAGGGAGCGTTCTGTATCTTTCATCTTCATTTACGGAGTATATCATTTATTCAATTTCTTAATACATTAATTGTGGAAAATTATTTTTGGAACTTAGGGAATTTTTTTAAAGAAAAACACTTGCATCTTATGTGTGAGAAAAGAATGAAGAATTTCCGAGAGAAATCTTTTCGAATGAAATTGAGTGCTCTGCCATTTGTGAATGAGGGGGCGTATGTGTTACAGTCTTACATATATTTTACCAGTTAACAACTGATTGAATTTATTGCTTATGGAAATAGTGATATTACTTTCTAAGTGAAATTGTATTATGCAGGAGTTGCGTCGAAGGCGTTTACAGATTAAAGCAAAGTCAAAAGCTAAAAGACACTTGAAGAAAGGTTTGTCAAAACTAGCAATAACTTTCACTGAAAATAATGAGCTAAATCATAACGATTCATTAATTTTTTCGTTTCCTCTTACGTTCTATGAAGTTCTGGGCAGTACATGCATCAATACATTATAGACCAAGGGTCTAACAAAAAACAAATTCTCTAATTCTTTAGAGAGTTAAGATTGTGTACATCTTGACCCTTGGACTCCAACAGAGTTGAGACTATAGTTTGTTTTTTCTGTTATACTCAGTATTTGGCTTGCAAAACACATCCTTAGTTGTATTTAAGGTTGCTCACCAAAAACAAGAGACATATTCTTAGTTTCACTATTGACAGGGAAAATAGATGGAGGTGGAAAATGTCTTGGTGAAGACAAAAAAGCTAAAATATGTACAGAAAGCGCGGGTAAAAATGATGATGGCCAAACGGAATATTTAGAGGTTCCAAGAAGTAGTTCAGATGACATTTTGCCCGTAAAACAAGACACTACATTACCACACAAAGAGCCACACAAGCGCCAGAAATTGCATTGGGGGTATAGTTTCCTCTCTGCCTGTTCTTTTCCATTCATACATAGAAATATATCTGAATACGAAGTAATTGTTTGAATTTCTTCGTATAGAAGGTCAATGTGGGTCACTAAGTACACTCATGCAAGATTGCATAGTTCATTTACTTATGACACAAGCTTTGGAAAGTAAAATGCTTACTCCCTCCCAAAAAACTTCAACAGTTCAACCAAATTGACTTCCACGGAGTTTAAAAATGTTGAAAATGCAAAATGTATGGTTAGAATTTGTAATGTTGTATCGAGAACAGAGAAATAGTGTGAGCCACATATCCATTACTAAAAAAGGAAATGAAGTGAGAAGTTTTTCTTTCTGAGACGTCCAAAAAGGAAAAGCAGAAAACTGGGTAAGAGGAAGTATTTCTTTTTTATTGCTAGAGCAAGGGAGATAAGACAGAGGTTTGGACAGTTGAATGTTTTGGGGCTCAGATTAAGCTTACTGGTTTCTGCTTTGGTCTATCGAAGACTAGAAAAAAAACACATAGTTGATTTACATTCTAAATAAATTTCAACAAGACGACTCCATTCTTTAACCCTGTGTAAAGTCAAAGTAGGAAGACTAAATTGGTCGGAGGAAGTGTATACTAAACTATCGGTTTGGTCCCAGTTTAAATTTGATCGGTTTGGGTCTACTTCTGGTATATGTTATAACCAGATTGAGTCATTTCAGTTCAGTTCTATTCAGATTTGGGTTTAATTCGGTTTTCTATATTTTTCGGTTCGGTTAGAGTTTGGGATATATTGGGATTCGGGTGTGTACTGGTTCAAGTAGATTTCACTTTGGGTAAATTTTGATTAGGGTTGATTATGATTTAGATAAGTATTAGTTTGGGCTTCGTATTCCTTTTTATAAAATAATCTAATGGTTCACATTTTCTCTCTATCCATTTCATAAATAACAACCACAAAATTTCATTTTTTTAGAACTACGAAGTAATAAGTTATTACTCTGTACTAGATTTTACTCGTGCGTTGCACGGTAAGTAATTTATTTCAACATGTAAATTATGAAATTTCTTAAAGTAAAACCTCTACATACAGATTTGAATATGGAATAAAATATATAAGTTCAATATGACATATACTTCCTCCAAGTCAAAAAACTTAAATCATTTTGAATTTAAAAAATTATTTAAAAAAATTATTAATCCATAAAATTGTTTAGTGGTATTAAAATATATACTCCCTCCGTCCCACTCTTTTTGTCCACTTTTGACTTTTGGAACTGTTCATCTAAGCACTTTGACTCATCAAATTCTCTCAATGTGTAAGCCTAAATATAGTCATGTGTGATCTTGTTTGATTTGTCTTGACATATAGATTATTAATATATAATTACTATAATTATTTAATATACAAATTACAAGATAAAATGGATTAAAGAAGTACATTGGATGGTGTGCAAAAATGAAAGTGGACGAATACTCTGGGACGGAGGTAGTAATTTTTTAACGCTATCAATTCGATTATATTGCAACATCTATTCATAGTATATTCGAAACTAAACAAAAAATAAAAACCCATACGATACAGTAGTCCAATAACACAAAAATAGTCACACATGAAAACCCAATAGAGTAAATATCCAAGAAGCATAAATTTGTTAAAACATATGCCACCCAAAAACAAAGTTCCAAAAGAGCAAAAGGAGCCACTCCACTACTCCAGTTGTCCTCCAGTTGTCCTCTAAATAGCCTAATCCTCCTAATGTAAAAATGTCATTGACGATTGATTCATAGCTCATTAACTTCTGCGCGATAGTGCAAGTTGCAACAAAATTCAAAGACCTCTCCAAGCAGCAGCATCTACAGGAGGGTATAACTTAAAATGCATTCTTGTTTTTTTAGAACTACGAAGTAATAAGTTATTACTCTGTATGAATGAGTCTTGACCCAATTTCATGTTTGACCAGTTTTGAGTCTAATTGGTTTTGTGTCTAGCATTTTTGGGTCTAATTGGTTTCACACCTGATCGGGCATTCGGGCCTTGTCGTTTTGGGCCTTATTGTTTCGGGTCTCTTTTGTTTTGGTTCCAGTTCGGTGAAGATCATCTCAGATTTCGGTTATAGATCAAGTATTCATTTTTTTTGCTCATTTCGAATTCAGTTTAGGTTCTTCCATTCGGGTAGTTGGTTGCAGGTCTGGTTTGCCAGGTTTAATTGAACTTATTGTTTGTAAAATTTGACCTACAGTGACCAAAAGTCATGCCTAGCCAACCCCTAGATGTTGCCGAGGAGCCCTTGGTGCTAGGCATCGGTCTTTTGCCTTGCACATTTTGCAATGTTATTTTGAATCTTGCCTAACCTCACTCCAACTTTGCCCCCAATGTCCCAACCTTATTTTGTCCAAACAGACGCACACATGAAATTCATCCCATGTTTGTTGTGAACAACAAGTGGAACTGGGGTTATGGTTGGAGTGCAAATGACTGTTTCCTTTTCTTTTTATCCTTATTAACATTTGTCATACTTTTGAATGTGTGAAATTGTAGCCTAGATGTGAAAGAGAGATGGGAAAGAAAATCCAACATGTAGAAAACACAGCACAACATGATATGATTGCAACAACTAACAACCTGGTACTGGCTTTGCCAACATAATGAGGGATAGCGTTGCCGTAAAGCAAAGAGGGCTATGATGTCTTCGTTTGGTGAACAAGAAGAAGAAGAAGAAGAGTACAACAAAATTGAATCATAAGTTTGTTCCCCTTTGACATTTTGATTGCACTACTGAGTTTCTTTGGGGGGTAATTGTATGTCCCATAGTGAAAATATGTAAATGTTTCACTATTTGACTGCACCTGCACTTGGGGGTTTATTGTGTTTAGTACACATCTTTTGAAAACTAAGTGCCCGTATGAGCGCGAAAAAATACGTGTTAGTTTTAATATATCTCTATATTATACGGGTACGGAGTAATATTTTTGTGAGTGTTGGAATAATGCTAAACATGATTAAGATTTAATAACTTCTAATGTCACAATTCTCATGCATACAAATTTAAATAATCTAAGAATTTAAACAGTTTTCTTAAACGAGATGTTTTGATGTCTAGGCAATGTTAAAGATCTCACTCTATGAATTTTTATAGAAACAAATTAAAATAATCATAAGCAGAAATTGAACTTATACCATATATTCCCTTCTCATAATATATCTCTTGTGAAAATTATCATACTAAGGCCCCGTTCCGTTCAACTTATTTCTTCTTATTTTTTCTTATTCTTATTAAAATCAAATCAGATCAGACCAGATCAGATCAGATCGAATCAGATCAGATCAGAACGAATCAGATCAGATCCAATCAGATCAGATCCAATCAGATCAGATCAGATCCAATCAGATCAGATCAGATCAGAACTTATTAAAATCAGATCCCATCAAGAATTATTATTATTATTATTATTATCATCATCATCATCATCATCATCATCATCATCATCATCATTATTACATTAGCAATCTAATTCTACTTTTAAAATATATCTTTATTGCTACTTGTAATTTTAGTTTCTAAACGTTTGATCTTTTATAAGGATGAGATATTTTAATAAAAATACTATCTCTTCTATATATTGATTATCTAAATTTAATTATTTTTTAATGTATATCCAAATTAAATATTTATTCTAATGTATAATTCTAATTTTACAAAAAAATAATTATAAAATAAAAATATTATTACATTATAATATGAATGATTATTCTAATATATGAATTGACTATTTTTATTTTATTAAAAAATAATCATTAAATAAAAAATGTTGATTATATTATAATATGAATTATCATTACAATTTTCAAATGTTATTATAAAGTCAAATTAAATTATTGATTTAAAATTTTAAATTAAATCATAATGAATCAGATCCAATCAGATCCAATCAGATCAGACCAGATCCAATCAGATCAGATCAGATCCAATCAGATCAGATCAGATCCAATCAGATCAGATCAGATCCAATCAGATCAGATCAGATCCAATCAGATCAGATCCAATCAGATCAGATCAGATCAGATCAGACCAGATCAGATCAGAACTTATTAGAACCAGATCAGATCAGAAAAAATAAGTTGAACGGAACGGAGCCTAACACCACATATTTGTATGTGAAGAAGGTTTGTGATTAATATTAAAGTTTTGGATAACATTTCATGATACAAACTAATTTTGAAATGACAAAACTAACGTTAGATAAAAATTTAGCATGCTAAAAAATTACTCCGTAAGTGCTGAAGTTAATAAAAGAAAGTGAAATTTGTACTAAATAGTTCTAAAACATGTCATTTTTCAATGAAGTACTTAAACTTTTTTTATTCTCTAAATAGTACTTAAATAATGTCTAGTGACAGGAATAATGCTCAGTGATGGTAGACATTTAGTTCCAGTGGCATACTAATACTACATATTTGTATGTGAAGGTCACTTGAACAATGACCATTAATACTACATTTGGAAATAAAAATATACTCCGTATGATATTACATTGGAAAAGTTAATACTTCGTATGTATTATTACTATTTAGATTACCATTTTACCCCAACTATATTATGCCCTTTAGGCCTTTACTCCTCAACCAATCATTCTCATCCTTGGTGTGAAATGAGTCATGAGTTTGTTACTAGCTTCTTACGTACATTACCAAAGCCCAACCCAAAGCCTTCATCTTCAAGATTTGTTAAGCTATACAAAATCTTCAAGCTTCCATCATCGCATGCCTTCATCTTTGGTGGGTTCTATTAATCTATTCTATCTGCTCATTTGTGCTGTCTATAAAAAAAACCATGTGTCCGCCATTGTTGACTTCCAAAGCTTTGAATTCAAAAACCCACACTCATTTCTTTGACTCTTGAGAACTCCAGTCTTCATTTTATTGGTTAGGTTTGGAATCTTCAATGATCCTTCATTCTTTTTTAACTCCCACATTCTTGGGCTTCGAAAATGGCCATTGAGATTTGCTCTCCGGATTCGAGCCCGAGAATGTCATTTTCCGGTGATGTTTCTGCACCGGGGGAGCCACAGGAGATCCGGTCGAGTTCTCCGGCGAGCCCAGAGTTCAATTTCTGCGTTTCCCGGGAGACCTGCGAGTCTTCGTCGGCGGACGAGCTTTTCTCCGACGGCAAGATTCTCCCAATTGAGATCAAGAGAAAAATGGGTCCGCAGAAAAAGCTTCTTCCACCACCGCCGCCGCCGCCACAGACACCGCTGGAAAAACAGAGCTCGGCGCCGCGGAACTTGGGGCGGAGTTGGAGTGTGAGCTTTAGGAAGGGAAACATGTGCCCATTGCCGTTAATGTGGCGGAGCAATTCTACAGGAACATCTAATTACTCCGCCATTAAAAGATCAAATTACAGGAAAGTTTCTTCGTCCTCTGCAACTACAGGGCATCGTCATCATCGTCATCACAAGCCTCCGTTGAAGAAATTTATGAATGACAGTGGGATCGGAGTGAATCCGGTATTGAATATTCTCCCCCCGGCAAGGCTCTTTTGTTTAAGTTCCATTTTTAGTGGTGGCAAGGATAAGAGCACCAAGTGATGATTCAAAAAATTGCTATCCCTTATTTTGGGATAAAGACTGGCAGGTCCCATTGTTTTTCAAAATATACTCCGAGGTACCTTAAGATATTCGAAAACTGACTCCGGGGTGACAATCCGCCATTCCCTCCGTTAATATTTCTTCTCCGTTATCCTCCTCCTCTTCCTCCCAAAAAATTGCTGCCAGGTACCCCTTATTTTGGGATAAAGACTGGCAGGTCCCATTTTTTTAAAAAACTTACTCATAGGGATTTAAAATATCCTTTGTTCAAAATATTACTTTATCGAATTAATATACAATATATGTTTTATTTAATAATAGGTCAAAAATTAAAAATAGTTGATTGAAAAAAGTCAAAACGTGACATATGCTCCGAGACAGAGATAAGATTATGTACTCCCCCCGTCCTAATTCTTTCTTCCCAGTTTGACTTTCCCCATTTTTAATTTTTGGCTTTGACTTCAAATTTTACCCTCCTTAAAAAAGATTTTTTGAATTTTTTTTGCAATCATTCAAAATATAGAGCTAGAAGATAATTGGTGTAAATACATGAGGGTATTAACTTTTTTTATTAGTTTTACTACTCTAAATCTTTAATTGAAAATTAATTTTAGTAATATATTTACGTATCATTTATAAAATTAAAATTATTTATTCACTTGGTTATAAATTATACGTCGTAATTCATAATAATATTAAATTTAACACTATTTTTATTGTTTCATATTATCTTTACAAGACATATTAAATTTAAAACTATTTTTATTGTTTCATCTTATTCTTTCTCAAGTCCTCTTGTTTTCTCAATTTACCAAGACACCATTACCAATGGCGACTATCAAATTGAATAATGCGGAGTACTATTTTTCTAAATAATAATGATTGTTACTCCGTATTTCTTAAAAATATAGTAATAAAATTACTACTCTGCAATTAATTTCTAATAATAATTAAGAAAATAATAGGAAATAGGAGTACATAATATTATCTCTGTCTCGGAGCATATGTCACGTTTTGACTTTTTTCAATCAACTGTTTTTAATTTTTGACCTATTATTAAATAAAACATATATTGTATATTAATTCGATAAAGTAATATTTTGAACAAAGGATATTTTAAATCCCTATGAGTAAGTTTTTTAAAAAAATGGGACCTGCCAGTCTTTATCCTAAAATAAGGGGTACCTGGCAGCAATTTTTTGGGAGGAGGAGGAGGAGGATAACGGAGAAGAAATATTAACGGAGGGAATGACGGATTGTCACCTCGGAGTCGGTTTTCGATTATCTTAAGGTACCTCGGAGTATATTTTGAAAAACAATGGGACCTGCCAGTCTTTATCCCAAAATAAGGGGTACCCAGCAGCAATTTTTTGGTGATGATTTCTATTGTGTTATGGTTGAGGGATCCCAAATTTGTAATCCTACTTTTAACTTTATTCTTAGACATTCAGACATTCACAAATTAAAAATAGCTGTAAAGTTTATAAGAGATTGGGGTCAGAAGTGAGATTAAAAATTTGGAGTCAAAATAAATTTTGGCATTTCTAATTACTCTTCTGAACATTTTTTTTTTGAGTGATTTTATTGTCATGCATTATTTGTGTAAAATTTGTTTGGGATATGCTAGGGGTACACCAAAGGTGTACCCCAAACACCAAAGGTGTACCCCAAATGTACATCACCCCTCTATTTACCATTCATTTTATTTTGTTTTTATTTTTTTCTTTTTTTTGAATGTTTCTTGCCTTTTTGTGTGGTGATGGAGGGGGTGAGGGATGTTTGGAGTACACTTTTGGTATACCTCTAGCATTTTACAATTTGTTTACGGAGCCGTCGGAGCACATACGAGTATTTTCATTTCAAGAAATGAAATCAAATAACTTTCGGACAATTTTTAAAATTATTTTATTTATAAACTGGTATAAAACTATAGTAACTAATTACAACATTCAAAAGTTCTACAAAAAATAGGTGATAAAAATATTTTATTTTATCAAAAGATTTATGGAAGTATACAAACAAATTAAAGTAATCGAGATATTGTAATAGTAAATGGGTATCCATTTTATTTTCCTAACTAATACTCCCCCAGTCTAAAATTGAACTTTTCAAGTTGATTGGACTCCTATATTTAGAATATATCACTATTCATTCTATTCATATATATTCTCCACCATATCAACTATTTTTATGCTACATTATTTTTCCTTTTTGTTTTTTTAACTTCACTATGATCACTTCTCTCATTTTTATATTTGTTTCACAATACTAATTTTATTTTCAACTAATCAAATTTAATGCAACATTTTACCTCTAATAAAAAATCTTTCTCCAAGAGCATGTCATTATTCTCCAATCTCATCCCTATCATTTTTTCCTTTGCTCTCTAACTATGTTGATTTGTCACATATGCTATTTTCTTCTCTATTTCCCTTCATTAGTGATGTTATTAAAATAAGTTGAAACTTATATTAGCTTTCTTGTCAAATATGAGAGACATATTAGTCTTATTAATTAGAAGATTTTGTTTTCTTATTAGCCTATAGGTTACCTCCTCACATAGTCATATGTATGTATAAATACTACCACCTATGGTGAATAAAGTGCTTAGTAAACAACATGTTATCAACACTTTAGGTCAAATTCTATTTTTCTATCGACCTCCTTCCTACCCGCCTCCATCATCCCAATCGATAAGAGATCTTTCTTTCGATCAAAACTAAAGGAAGATATCTAAACAAGAGGGACTTATATTCAATCCCGCAAATTAGTGTTTTCCTTCTCTGTCATTGCAATACAGTAGTGCTTCTGTTTCCCGTCGCTATTTCTCGAAAGAGAATGAAAAGGAAAACACGCTGAGATAAATCTCGTTGATACCACCACTTCATCAATTTCTACCATGCTCACGAACACTCATTTAAATGCATCTGATTTCATTTAGAACCATTAGATCATACGACATGAATTTTTTTTCTCTCTCTCTTTCTCTTTATGACTATGTTCTAGACAATGTGTTGCATTTATTTGGGTTTTTATTTTAAAATTGTTTGATGTTTTTCCTATATTCTCTGCTATTTCTATTCAAAGTTTTATAAGATGGTTTTTTAAATGAATGAGTATTGATCATTATTTTTATTTCTTGAAAAAATTTGATCACAAGCTCAGTAGAGCTTTTATTGGTGATGAATGTTTGCTAGATAGTGGTAGTACCAACACAATCATATAACATAAGAAATTATTCTCTGAATTATAAAATCAAAACACTTGTTGGTACTATCTCGGGTGTACTGACCTAATTGAAGACTCCGGAAGAACATGCATCATATTACCCTCAGGTCCCAAATTAATCATAAATGATGTATTATACTCAAGTAAGTCGAGAAGGAATTTACTTGGTTTCAAAGATATTTAACAAAATGGTTACCACCTCAAAATCACATCTGAAAATAGTAGAGGATACCTACAAATTATTTCCAGCGAGGACTTTTTAGAAAAGCTGGAAACTTTATCTTCTGGATTATAGTGTACCAATATTACTCTTATTGAGTCATATATGGTAAGTAACCAGAAGTTACTAGATAAGGACACATTTATCCTATGACATGACCAACTAGGTCACCCTCACAGTATAATGATGAGGTGCATAATGAAAAATGTGAAAGGGCATCCACTAAAAAATCCTCGCTGGAAAAACTCATGGCAGTACAATGATGAGGCGCATAATAATTTTCTTTATAATATTTTATTATTTTAAATTATATTTATTTTTTTAAAAAAGTTGTTACAGTTATCCAAAAAAATAAATTGTTGTAATTTTTTAAAGATGGAGTGTGTAAAAAAATCAAATTGAACAAAATATGGAAAAAGACTAAAGTAGGATAGAAATATTGAAAATATATACTCCCTCGTCCCAGAGTATTTGTCTTCTTTCATTTTTGCACACCATCCAATACATTTCTTTAATCCATTTTATATTGTAATTTGTATATTAAAAAATTATAGAAATTATATATTGATAATGTATATGTTAAGACAAATTAAACAAGATCATACATGGCTATATTTAGGCTTACACGTTGAGAGAATTTAATGAGTCAAAGTGCTTAGATGAACAGTTCCAAGAGTCAAAAGTGGACGAATATAGCGAGACGAAGGTAGTAATGTATATGTTAAGACAAATTAAACAAGATCACACATTGAGAGAATTTGATGAGTCAAAGTGCTTAGATGAACAGTTGCAAAAGTCAAAAGTAGACGAATATAGCGAGACGAAGGTAGTATCATTATAGGACTTCTATTTTTTCCCGAAATAGAAGTAAATATGTATTTATATTATCAAAATGGTCTTTTACCTTACCAAAAGGTACAGTGATGTGTACATCTACAATGCCAAATTATAACAACTTTACCATAAAGTGAAATTCTATTTAAAAAAACTGTAGAAACCTTAGTTTGATACTCCGTACTTTTTTTAATTCTATTTAAAATGATTTCTAAATAAAATAGAGATTACATATGTAACGACTTCTCCCTGTCGGTCTTGTATGACGCGGCCCAGATTTGGCCCACTTTCGCCCATTGTAAGGTACAAACTCGAGAGAAATCCAGCGCTGTAAAACGTTAATGGCGTGACAATGACGACAACGCCAAGCCTCTGCGTATGATCCCCTGCCGCCTTCTGACACGCTCTCGGCGTTCTCTCCAGAATTTATGCCTCGAAAAGCGTACCAATTTCTTCCTTTTTCTGGCACGGGATAAGATGATTTTTGTTAAGTTGTAGTCTATTTATTGCCATATTTCCCGTTCGATTTCTTCTCCACAACCGCTTAAAGCCATGGAGACCGACGGTTTCCCGGGGGCAATACCGGAGAACACGCTTCTGCGGCTCCGGTGCTCAGTTAAGAACTACGATTGGGGCCGAATCGGCCTGGAATCCCGCGCGGCGCGGCTGTACTCTCTGAACACCGGCGAGGAGGTTCGGGAGGACATGCCGTACGCCGAGTTCTGGATGGGGACGCACGACTCCGGCCCGGCGTACGTCGCCGGACCGGTGACCGGCGGCGGGAAGGAGAATGACTCACTGACTTTGAAGGACTTGATTCGACGGAACCCTACTTTAGTCGGCGAGAAGGTTGTTAAGACTTGGGGCCCGGATCTTCCGTTTCTGTTCAAGGTGAGTCCTCTACGCGTCTCTAATTTTCAAATTAAAATTCTAATGGCAGTCTTTTTTTTTCGTTTTTTTTAAAATTATCAAATTAAACTAAACTAAACTAAACGAGAATAATAATTAATTACTGAATAGTTTTGACCCACAACAAATAAACTCTTCATATTAATTAATTGTACATTTAATACTGTTTGATTAAGCTTTTAATTATCTAAAAGTTTTTATTTTATTACTAAAAAACGCCCATTAGATCGGTAGAGGTACGATTGAATAGAATTAATTGTGTTTTGCTGCGTTTTAGGTGCTTTCGGTTGCGAAGGCGTTGTCGATAC